TCTTGAAAACTCATATTTTATTACTCTATTGGGCTGCACCTCATACATCTACCATCATGAATTTCAAAAATTAAAAACATGAATGAATACCTTGGTGAAAAAACAAAAGAAACAAAAAAAGGAGCAGATGCAAATTGCAAGCAAATGTTCAATTTTCAGTGACTAGCAACCTTCGTCTAGAATAGAGAAGTCTAACTATAGTCTGACACGACGACATGTTGAGGAGGTAAAACAGTTATTAGATCCTGTTTGTTGTGTTGAAGCAGGGATGAGTATTTAATGTATCTTCTGAGATATAACTACCACATACTCACACGCCTCTGCCACATTTTTTGTTCTTCCTAAGACAAGCTGGGAAGTTTACGACATGAAGAACATTCAGCTTTTATTCAAACTGAGAGATCAGCCCACTTAGTCACTTACAAATCTTTGTCATGTTTGACTGGTACACTTCGGGGCCCCCCTCATTGACACATTTAACTCCATTCTGGCTCATTTCTCACTGAGGCGTCCTCAGGTGCTAGAGCAGCTGTGCACCAAGTCTGTCAACTGCATCAGTCTTCCATGTCGCGCCAGACGCCACGTCTTGCTCAGAGAATTGCTGCCACTGGTTCAGGTAATTAATCTGAGCTCGTTAGCCACATGGAAGGCAGGTTGTGCAGAGATTTGCCCACCCTCTCGACATTGGCAACACAGCACACACAGTCTCCTGTAGATAGTGACTGAGGTTTGTAGAATCTATGAGGTTTTTTTGTTGTTGTTGTTTTGGTTTGGTCAGTTCTCTGGTGTTCAGTTTGTAATGGCTGTCCATTGTTTGTAGACGTGCACTGGGAATCTTCAACATCGTTAGATTTTTTTTGCTTTTTTATTAGCTTAATTGTAAAATTCAATCAAAACTTTATAAAAACAGAACGTCCAATAATATCTATTCGTAAACAAGCGATTTATTTTCTGTATTTAGCAGAGGTTAGCCGGTGAGTCACTTGTGTCTCGTCAAAACGCTTTTTAGACAATGTGATGCAGGCTGATATGGCAGGCAGTTCTGTGTTAAAATGGCCTCAAATCTTTTGTAACTTGTCTGAAGTATTTGCATTTTACCTCAATGAGCAAAGCGGAGCAACTCAAGAGCTATTCCAGGGTTAGATGAAAACAAGCCCTTTAAATATACCTTCAAAATAAAAGCCAACTGAAATGGTGGGGTGAATCTGATCTGTGTTGTTATTATGTGGGCCTTCACATCTTCCTTGGGACTGCAAGAGCAAATGACGGCATAAGGAAAAGGGAGTAGGGTGCACCAGATGAACCGTATTTTTTTTTTCTTTTACTGAGAAAAAGGAAATAAAATGCCAGAGAAGAGGAGGAGGATGGTGAAGCTGGACAGGTGCTGAAAGACAGATATGTGCTTTTTCCCCCCCCTTTGCTGCACAGGAGATCGAGGCAAAGGGAAGTGAGAAACAGAGAAAAAAAGGACAGGTGAACTATTTCCCCCAGTGGGAGAGGAAATGAGGTAAAGTGGAAAGGGCCAGCTTAGTATTGAGAAATGGACTAAACCATCCCCAGAGGGGGAACTGAAACTCCCAGCTCCATTGGGCCTCTCTCTAAACGCACCTACCAGTGATGGATGATTTTTCTTTTCTTTTTTTTGTTTACCCCCTCTGCATTTCCTCACTGTTCAGCACAGCTCAGGGCTCTCCCTGCTTGTGCTCATTTGTGCGTGTGTGTCTGCACAGCCACCTCGCCATATGCCAGGCAATCCCCGCTTTGCCTCCCTGACATTCCCAGGGAGCGGAAAACACAGCCCAGCAACAATCGATAGCTCCCTGCAGCTCCATGCCCCAGCTGTAGTCCAAGGCAGCTCTATCTTCAGTGAGTGCCTCCGCTATTAATTCTGTGTCTCACAGTTTCCTCGCGGCCTTCGAGCAGCACAGCGACTGGAGTCCTTTGCTCACAGAAGGAGGAAGAGAGGAACGCCGTGTGAAGCTTGTGTATTCACAGGAATCTCCTCAGTCTCTGCTTACGCATGGACTTCAGGCCACACGGGGCTGCTTCACTGTATAAATCAATATCACAAAGATCCGGAACAATAGAAGTTTTTCAAACTCTATAAAGAGTTTGAAAAATTGTTCATCTTTATTGCTCATAAAGTTGAACAATTTTAATCAATGCCTTTGTATAGCATTTTTCTAAATCTGAAAAATCTGTCAAACGTTTTTGTTGCGTTGTCAGAATTGTTCCACGTCCTCAAAGCTATCAATTACACAGAAACCCTGTTAAAACGAATTAGTTGAAGTGGGAGAGAATCTTCCAACTCTACGCAGAAAGACTTTCGGAAGAGATTCACACCTTTGTCGTTCCTTCTGCGCTCCAACACCGCAACCCACTGCTCCACCCTGCAGCCTCACTGCCACCCATATAAATAATTGATTATCAACCACTGCAGGAAGCCAGGTCAAAGCTTTCCAAAGACCTGCGATCAGAAATCAGAAAGAATTCTGCTCACTGCATCTCTCGATGTGTTATCTAGAAGTTGTTAGATCCTCTATGTTGAATTGTCTGCGTGATCACGCCCCAGCTTGTCTTCCTAGAAGCATAGTTAAAGGATTTTATGCTCTCCCACAAACTGTAAAAGATTTAGACTCTCTACCATTAGCTTTGCTTTGGGGAGTATGTGCCTTACAAGTCCAACAACACATCATCGCCACATGCCACACTTGTCATTTTTAATTTAACAAGAGAACACTAGAGAGAGAGAGAAAAAAAAAGTCTTATGTTAAAAGCAAGAAAAGCTTTTAACTACTGGCATCTCACCTCTCTAACTTCTGCATCGTGTCTGTCTTCTACTAAGTTGAGGCACACACTTGTGGTGGTGTTTTTTGTTTTTTTTCCCAGGCATTTCTTCCAATTTAACTGTGTCCCTCATCTTCTCATATCTCTCTCAGCAGGGATCAAAGCACAAGTGCCTCCAGGGCAAACACATGCTGCCTCGACTTCACTCTTTCTGCCTTAAACAAAGAACAACACTCTCCGTCGTGCACGTTTTGAACAAAATCCACTACAAGCACGAGCTTTACAGACATAATCGTGACTGCACACAGCCTCATTTTACCTCTGGAAACATCCAGTGACTTGCACCGCGTGGATTAGTCTCCTAAAGCATTCCCTTTGAAACTCCGAGGCAGGGATTTCTTTTTAGGTGATCACCGGCCTAAGCAGCTGTTACACGCAGGATTAACAAGTTCTGCCATTCTCAAGAAACACAGTCTTGTTTAAACTAGTTGCGGGGCTACGGCGGGGGGAGGAAAGTAGTCACAGACGAGGGCAAAGGGGAGACGGGGAGAGGTTATGACAGGCAGGAGAGGTGGCAAAGTGGTGGATTAATAAAGAGGAGGTGAGAAGAGGGAGAAAGTGAGGTGTGAGAGAGGCAAAATGGGTAGCAGATGATCAGAGAAGAGCAGGGAGATGTGCAAGAAAGGATGAGGAATGATCGGAGTGGAGCGGAGGGGAGGGAACGAGATGTGTGAAGAGAAGTGTGAAGGGCAGGAGCGAGGGAAGAGGCAGAGATTCAGAGGAGAAGAGAGGCAGGCAGCTTCTACGCATCTAATTTAGTGAGAACCAGACCTCCGCCAAGGAGGAAGCTTAGAGGGAAATGACAATGAGAGCATTGTCCCCGCTCTTGTTTTCCCTACAGTTTTTCGTTGCGGCGTATAATATCATCCCCCCCCTCCTGTCTCTTTGAGCGTGAAAGTGTCCCACCTTTGTAATTGTGCGAGTACAAGGTGTTTACAGCGAGGAAAGGTCAACGGGGCGATAACAGACCTGGCTGTAGGGGTGGAAAGACATTTTCAACCAATCTCGCTTCTCTCTCCCGTGCGTCGCACCTGTCCTGGTTCTGATTCTCTCTTACAGGCTTTATTTTCCACACATATCTATAATTCATGCTGTCATAGTGCCTGGGAAAAAGATCCAAACTCTGGGTAATTTTTGTCACATTTTAACGTTTCTTTTTCAATAATTTGACACATTTTATGAAGTTTAGCTCCACTTCACAGTTCTATGCTACCTTCAGTTAATGTTTCACTTAAAATCCTTGTAAAATTCATAGAAACTTTGTGGGTATAAGCCAAGAAAATATTTAAAACGTTTGAAAGCCCCCTATATGTCTCTCCCCGGCTGCTCTTTGTCGTCCTGTTTTTTCCCTTTCAAAATTCTGATTAGCTTCTGTAGAAGGGTGCATTATAGCAGGTCGGCGGCAGCTTTTTCTGTTTTTTCCCCCCGTTTCATGCATCACAGAACATTTCAGTAGAGAAAATTCACATAGCTTGCACCCTGTGCCAGTGCTCCTTCATCTTCCACCGCTGTGTCACTCACTAGCAGATTTTTGTGCTGCTGTGCCCCGTGCTCCCCTATGCTTTCAGCCCATTCTGCTGGAAAAACAGAGGACGGGCACAAGCAAACAATCCCGTTCACTCTGAGACTATCTCCAATATGCAGCCATGCAGTGCCGAGCAGAGCAGTCAGATGCCACGCCTCTGCAATTTCTTTGCATTTTTATTTGTCTCAGGGAAAAGGAAGAACACATGCGCGTACACTTGCTCATCCACGCTCACGCTCAGTCATGTTCTGCATCTTTATTCCCTCTTGGTGTTTTGTTTGCGGAGTGTTGGGTCTGTTCGAAGGAGATTTTAATTGAAACCAAGGGCTAATCTGTTGACGGCACGGAGCAGCGGAGTCCTTAGACCTGTATCACCTTGAATTATGTAGCACCCTGTGGTGCCTTGATGCTTCATTTCATGGCTCGTGGTTCGGTGCCGAGCTGCCTAGTCATTAATGCCATGTTGATTGTTAATCCAACACTTGATATGCACGGTGCTCGCTCAGTTCTGATCTTGTTTTTCTTGTTTGTGTCCCCCCTTTGCTCTTTCTCTTACCTCTCTCTCCACTCTATTTACCCAACACTTCCTTCGTCTCTGTTCTCCTCTGCTCCACCTGTCTCCTTCCAGGACGGGTACTACTCCCACCGGCCGAAGGAGAAAAGCAGAGTTGACAGCAACAATGAGAACTCGGTGCCAAAAGACTTTGAGAACATAGATAATAGTAATTTCGGTGCCCGTTCGCACCGGCAATCTGTGGGCGCCACCAGCAGCAAGCAGCGGGAGCGTGTCCAAGGGAAGCCCCACACCCAGCAGCAGGCCTGGCACGAGAGCTCTCCCAGACTGGGCCGCAGCTCCAATGAGATTTTGCCGATAGGCCACCAGTCGCTAGAACTGGGAAGCAATGCCTCCTATCCTGGTGGCCAGGGCATCGCCGGAGTCCTGCAGCAGCAGCACACTCGTGCCTCACTTGACCAGCCTGACCAGTCCCAGCACAGACATCAGCATCCACACAGGAAACAGGCAACTACACCAACACTGGAGGTGACGTACGATCAGCCGCCGCAATGTGAGATCAGCGGCAAGGAAGCCATTTCTGCCCTGTCCAGAGCCAAGAGCAAGGAGTGCCGGCAACAGATTGCTGAAGTCTACTGTAGACACAAAGAGGGCCAGCTAATGCCTGATGCAGTAACTCGTCATTGCCCTATTGAAGGTAAGTGCTTTACTCTAGTGAAGGGCTGTCATGGTTTTATGTTTACATGAGAGGCAGAATTTGAATGCCCTCCCAATTTGTGTGGCTTTTATTTGATTATGCAAAGAAGAACGGTGTGAATCTGTTCCAGTAAATTGATCTAGATTTCAGCAGGAGTTCTTGCTGTCTGGAAAAGATGGAAGCACCGGGTCAGGGATACTTAGTAAGGAAAAGATAATTACAAAGTGTGTGCACATATTTATCTACCGCAATAGCTCCATCAATGTTTTCGTTTGAGGAAAGTGGCACCACTAAACATTGAAGCAATGAGTATGGGCTTCTTTCTCTGGAGACATTAATCAGGAGAATACAACAGGGTTAATGGCTGCAACAGCCATAAACAAATTAGCTACATCTTGGAAGGAGACACAACTCAGCAGAAGCACCGAGCCAGGAGTACTTTCTATAGGGAAAAAAAACTGAAAGAGTAGCCGTAGTACTTAAAGGGCCCGGTTGTTGTGTCTTAAAATGAGACAGTAGCTGCGTTTCCATTAACTGCAAAATTTTGCAAATTGCAATTACAATTGTTGCTACTGGTGAAAAGGACGAAGAAGACAACAGGAAGTAGTGGACGATGGTGTGGTTTTGCTTTTGTTTTGAAAAGTGCAGCTGGCTGTACATGAGCTCTCACAGCACTGCACAGTTCAGAAAAAGTTGTGCGCCATTCAAATGTGTCGAATCTGGTTTCTATAAAAAAAATTACAGATTATGTTAAAGTTGATGGCTATGAATGACCATTTAACATTTTTTAAAATCAAACAGAAATACGTGTTTCAGGCAGACAGCTTTTTTTCTAAGCTTCCTCTCAGACATTCGAACTCATTTGTGACTAGAAATTGTAATCACCATTTGAAAAGGTATCACTGCGTCTCAGCCAACACTGAGACATCTGAATGCAAATTCAGGATCTGATCTGATTGTCGGAGCTGTCAACAGGCAAACTTTCTGATTAAAAAGTTTCCAAAGACTCTCTCTGACTCCTGCCCCCTCCTCTTCTTCTCCCTCTATTTGCTATTGTGAAAAAGAGCTGCCATTTTGCTGTGACGCTTCTCTTTCAGTCACTCCTCACATTTCAGTGTTGCACTACGCGCCGCTGTCCTCAGTGCTGCTGACAGAGCAGCATTTGAAATGGGAAGCATCCTCACTGCACGTCGAGTTCTCCAGTCCACAGAGAGTTCTGCATAGTAGCTTGAAGCTGTAAAGTTACTTGTATAACAGTGTTGGGAGGAAAACGGATTTGGTTCCTTACCGAGTTCTGATGTATGAAAAAAGTAATCCCTAGTATACTGTGCCATCCTTGGCTGCTACAACTACCAAGTGGCAATGAGTCTTTTCAGTCGCTGAAGAGAAACTTTAACCCTTCCAGTGGATTATTTCAATGCCGTCTCATTGGTGGGTTTTCAAGCTGCCAGACGACATCATCTCTACGGGATTTAAGCCCAGACGTTGACTCGGCCTCTCCAAAACCCTCAGTTATTTATGTATTTCTTTTTTAACTTAAGGACTGTTTTGATTGTCCGTTAAAGAGCAAAAACAACGATCGTATTAGTTGGAATGTAGCAACAAAACAGGCCCAGACCATCACACTGCCGCCATCGTGTTTGACTGTTTAGTTTAATCCCAGATGCAGCACGACACGCAACTTCATTTTTATTTTTTCAATCCACAGAATATTTTTTCCAAAAGCTTTGAAGATGATCAAGATGTTTTTCCCGGCATCTTTCCTCATTAAGTCGAGAACACTGACCCGGACTGGTGAAAATGGCTCCTGAAGCTCTCTCATCGGTTTTCTGTATTCTGTCTGTTCTGATCTTTGAGCCCTCTTCATGCTGTCACGCAGGTTTTCTTTCAGTCATTTATTGGTTCCCCAGGTCGGTCAGAGGGAACGCCTCGGTTTGAGTCCTGAAACCAAACCAAAATGATGACTGTCACAGTTTCTTTGTGACTCAACATGGAAATGAATCATTTTTAACAGCGTGAGGTCGGATTGGTTTTTCCTTTAACAAATGAAGTCATTATTTACAAACAAAATGTTGATTATTTAGGTTAGCTTTGAAACTGAAATTTGTGTGATGATTTGAGAAAATTTTAATAAAAAACAAATCAAGAAGATATCAGAAAGGAACAAATATTTTTTTTTCTTTCTTTCAGAACCGTACATACCGAGTTAAATGTAAATTCTTTGGAACATAAGTTAGCCATCTACAAAATCACTGCTATTAATTTATGTTTATGACAATAGACAATTCCTCCTGAAACATATCATAGGAAAGCAGGAAATATAGATTAAAAAAATAGGAGCGAGAAGTACATTAAGTAGAATGAAATTAAGGGAGTTATCATTCGAAGAAAATCTTGTTAAAAGTTGTTCTGAGTGATTTTCCTTCCTTTTTGTCTTGTTTTTACATGTTACTTTTCTCATTACGTCTGCCTAATCTTTTCCTCCAGAGAAAACAACAAGAGTAACCACTTCACAAAGTTAAGCACAGACAGTAGGTCTATAGTGAAGCTTAAGTAGACGGAGAAAAATTTCCTCGTCTAGTAATTGCAATTTCTCATCAAAGCCAAGGTACTTCCCCCGCTCTCACCCCTCCGATGTATAATTGGTGGAGTAAATTGTTGGATAAAATTGGGATGCTGCTTGTGTTCTCCCCAAATTGGTTTTTTGGTCTGTTTTGTCAAGCTGGCCACAGAACACAGGTTCCCTCATCTTTTTCAGACACAGCACGCTCACAAATTTATGGACATCTGCAAGGCTGGTTGTGGATTCTGTAAACAAAATCTGTTGCGCCGGCAGCCATCAGCGAGTTGCACGCATCAGCAGGCATGTTGAAGTGAACATTGCATACACACACATGCGACCGCGCGCAAGGCAGCGGACTGTATGCAACGCAGACAGCAGGAGAGGAGGAGAAACCTATTATACCTCCTGCCTGTTCTGCTGAGATACCTCTCCTGCCCCAGCTCCTGTTGTTATAACTTGACGAAGCACAATGACTTTGCAACTTTGGTGCATTCCTTTTCCTCATCGGCGGGAGCGTTGCCCGTCTGTGCCTGATCTCTTGTCATCTCACACAGCCAGTCGCAGCCCACTTGAACTGACAATTTGATCAAAAGAGACAAAGAAATTGAAAAGGGCTCTCCCCTGGTGGCTGGGCTGTAACAACACAACAACTAAATTAAATCACTTTTCTTTCTCTTCGTCCGCCTGCTGCCTGCCAACGTGTTATTTCTCCTCCCTTCCCAATCAAGTCTTAACCTTGTTAGCCGAAAATGCCCAATTTGGTTTGATCGACTTTCAATCCTCGAGGCTTCGGCTGGATTAGCAATTGTGTTAGTTCTGCATTAGAGTCGTTGAATTTAGGGGGAACATGTTCACCCTCGATGATCTCATATGCTAACTTTGCTGCAGCCGAATCAACAGGCAGCTGCTTTCTGATGGGAGCAGAAAGGCCTCATTTGGAAAAAGATCCTACTGAATAGTGATAAATATTGGTAGAAAAATGATGACTGTGTCATAAACCATGAAGAATTATTTAGATCTACTGAATTTTTTTTTAATTTTTATAATCCTATTGAGACCATCCCATTGAAATAGATCTCAATAAATAGTTAGGGCGCTAACATGTCCGTCTCAGTCCATGTCTGTAGCACGTTTCTTCCACGCTCTCCACCAAGAAGCAGTGGCGCATCCATGTGACATCATTAGCGATACTAGAGTATCTTAAAGAGACACTACACAATTACCACTCTACAATCTGTGGTAAGAAATATATGAGTAAATGAAAAAAGAAAAATCCAGACAACAAAACTAATGTTTTACTTACAGCTTCTAAGGAAAACATTATGCTAAAGCCAGACCATCCATAATATGAAAAGTAATAAATCAGGAGGCCTATCTTAAGACCTGGTTTACTGCAGCTCAGCCTTTGGGTTTCATAATGTCATGTAACAAAGTTGTAAATTAGTTGGGCTTTTGTTTTTATGTTATCTAGTACAGATCTTACTGACATATATCGAACTTCATACGTCAACCTGCACAGATACCCCAACAAAGAAACATGGTGGTGGCAGCATCAACCTTTTATTTACCCATGGAAAAGATGGATGCAGCCTAATAAAATCCTGGAAGAAAACTTACTGGAGTTTGTAAAATACTTGGAGTTGGCGTTCATCTTCCAGCAGAGCGACCATAAACATCCACCCAGAGCTACAAAGACCAAAGTGTATTCATGTGCTAGAATGGCCAAGTCAAATCTGTGGAAAGATATGAAAATGTGTCTTCACTCTGTCTGCCTGATGATAAACCAAATATGACACTTTGAAAACATCAAATGCAATACCAATTTTGTTATTCATACCACATTTTTTTATCTGCAAATCTCACTGTGTGTCTTTTTCTTCTCTTTTAAAGCACAGAAGACATTTTCTAATGCAATTTGGTACATGCCCTCTGGGACCTTATTCAGCTCTTCTTCTAACCTCTCATATGAGCGTTTAAGATGGAGGGTGTGTCAGAGCCAGACGTTACACAGGATGATGGAGGAAGAGTGCAGGATGATAGCAGATGAGGGAAAGGCAGTTTCAAAGATTGATAGCAAGCTCTTAGCTCAGGTACACAGTCTGCTCAGAGAATATGCCACGCAAAGCTGCTCTTCTGCAGATGAACAGGTTGACCAAATTGACAATAAAAAAAAAAGTTTAGCTCGCACAGAAGTGCTCATTAGTTCAGCCAGACAGTCTTGCTCACACTCTTGGAGTGCTTTGAGAAGCGACTGGCCAATTATCTGACTGCAACGCAAGCCAGTGGATCTTCTTAGCCGGTCACCAATTACTGTTCAATCTGATACGGCCCGCAGCAGATTTCCCTCAGAGCACACACACACTCTCACACACACATGTGGAAATGATGTAGCACAAACTCTGTGCTACACAGACGGGATGACGGGAGGTAAAGCCAGTTAGAACCAAGCGAGCGTATCGTTAACCTTACTCTTGTCATTGGTCTATAAGCAAATCCACCTTACATTTCAGCAAGTGCAATCATTTTCTACAGAATATGGATATGATAGATACATACGCCGAAACCCGTTGTAATTACAAGGCCTCAGGGCCAGCAGAGAGGGCTTTTCCTTAATGCCAGGCGAATAAACAGTCCACATGTCAGTATTCCCTTAGGTTCCCTGTGTCTACACTACAGACAGGCTCTTAGGAGCTGTAACCCTAAATTATAGTGATTTGAGGTTCCAGCCCAAGGCTTATTTAGTGAATAGAAATCTTTCATACACTCTCTGTGTGCATTTGCCGTGATAGCTAAAGATTTTAAAAACAAACAATGCCCATGATAATTTTTTGAGGGGAAGAAGAGCGGGGGAGGTTCGCAGCTTTAAGGGATTCAAAGAAAGTCCGTTGCTTTTGTACTGATTTAAAATCTCTAAAGTTTATTTTACATTGTAAGATTTATGTTGGTATAAATTTTTAAGGGTTGTTTAAGTGTGGTAGAAAACCACACAATGAAGCAAAGCAATGTTTCCAACAATTCTCCACGGACCGCTGGGATTGTTTCATTTGACAGGCCACAACCTGGGTGTGTGTCCCCACATTCATACTGTTGTCATCTTTTGCAAAGTCCAAGGCGTCTTTGGGGAGTTTGGCCTGTTGTGGTATGATGGCACTCTGTCATCCCGAGCGACGCCCGGATTCCCGGAGGAACCTCTGATAGGATTCCTGTCTGTGGGAGGACGGTGGTTACAGCAGATTTTATGAGGCTGGAATTGTTGAAATGGCTCCAAATCAATCAAATGACGACTGAATGGTTGTGCGTTGGTAGCATTGATGCTTCTGTAGCATTACATCTTTCCTGATTCTGTTTTTATGTTCTCGTTTGGTTTTGTAATTGTGACAAATTTGGGTGTTAACGTCTCATTGAGCACTCAGTCTGGAGTGGTTATTCCCCTTTTTTAAAGGGAGTGCGGACCAGTGTTGGACCCTCTTTATCTTAAGATACACACAACAATATATGAATCATAACTGAGTGCATATTCAAGAGAAATATAGATAGATCCATAACATTTCTATGCTTATTTTTCTTTTTTTCCTTTTGATTCTTTGACATTATGTACCAAAAGTGCACTACTATCTCAGTGTTGTCTTTGGCTTTTACTTGTCATATTAAAATACATATTTTGTCTAGAAACAGCCTGAAATCACCTATCCTTATGGTGTCAAACATTAACTTTCAAATGTGCCTGATAAAAATAGGTAAAATTGCCCAAAGCAGATAAAAAGGATCGGACAAAAATTTCTCTAATGTCGCTGACCCTAAAAAATAACTATAACCCATTCTTTGCATTTATTTTCCTTATTATACTTATTCTGGTTTGATTGAATAATTTCTCATGCATAAAACAAAACTCTTTGCTATCTGTCAACCTGTGAAGGTAAAGCCAATGTGAATATCCAGTGGGATGAAGACTCTGTGGAGAGCTTTCCACTGAAACCAGTGAGAATAGCTTTTGTTCTGGTGATTCACGGACGAGCCTCTCGCCAGTTCCAGCGTCTGTTCAAAGCCATCTACCACACCTCTCACTTCTACTACATTCACGTCGACCAGGTGAGCTGCAGGGGACCTGAAACACGGTCTAAAACAGGAGCCACGCGACTCCAAAACACAGTTTGTTTCCTCTCTCTCTCTTTCAGCGCTCCAACTACCTGCACAGGCAGGTGCAGGCCCTCGCTGCCCAGTATCCCAACGTGAGGGTGACGCCCTGGCGCATGGCCACCATCTGGGGGGGAGCCAGTTTGCTGACTATGTATCTGCGCAGCATGGCTGACCTGCTGGCCATGAGGGACTGGAGCTGGGATTTTTTCATCAATCTCAGCGCTGCCGACTATCCGATCAGGTAACAGAGGAACCTCACGTTACAGTAAAAGCCTGGAGGGAGATTTCTGAAATACAGATATGCAGGGCTCCATAAAGATGAGTAATCTTCCCATGCTGCTGTTCTGTGTTAGGAAACGTGGGTCAAAATTTGTAGATGTTAGTTCTTATTTTCTTAAAAGCATTTTGTCTTAAGCAGAACACATAAGAACAGCACTCAAGATGTTTTGCTGACTTCCTTCTATAGTTGATTATTATTTATATTAGTAGCAGATGCTTTAGGGTCCTACTTTCAGAGAGCTAGCCTAGCTATGCAAGAAGAGACTATATTCAGTGAGTAGGAAAAATAGAGCAGAACCGTTCAGCTTCCATTCCATTATAAAACAAGAAAATATCTTACATCTGTCAAATGACTATGAAATATGTTAAGTCAACAGAAACAGAAGTATAACTAAAGACAACATCGACTACCAAATATTTTTGTTGTTCGTTTGTGAACGCTGTCTTTCATTTTTTTTAAGAATTAGGACATAAATTCAAAAGTCTTTTAAAGCTATATTTTTGTGTTTTACTTTCATTTTGAGGTGGAAATTAAAACACAATTCTTGTTGGTTTGCTACACCTTGTGGGGTTATGACAACCACCTTTGATGATCACTGTTATAGTATTGGCTACATACCATAACAGCCTTTTTGTATGAGTCATATGACTGAGTTTACCGGATTTACAACTATCTGCAATGGCCAGGTACTGGACTAAAAGTCTATTTAAAACAAAACAAAAAACAATGTCCCAGAGAACTATTGATCAAAACCACCTTTTAACATAACAAGAACAATGTTTTTGTTATACAATACTATTCAGCAGTAAGAAATGTTGGCGTCTTTAATATAAAGACATGAGGTCAGAGTGAAGAAATTGCAGTGTAATGCAGAAAAGGATTTTCCTTAAAAGCATCCTGTCACCACAGTACTATCCCACTCTGAGTCAATGCACAAGTAATCCAATACTCTCCACTCTATGCTTCTGTCGTTAACTGTGAGCTTTAAATACAGTCAAACCTAACAGATCGATGATGTAGCACCTCTGCTTTCTTAAACACTGTTCATTCATACCCTTTTTTTTCCAAGCATCTGCCTTCTAGTTCTCATAACATTGAACAGTTTGCATGTTTAACTTACTGCGATTTAATTGCCTAAGGTCAATACCCATTGACTTTCCAGGTCTGTTGTGGACCTCGGCGTCCGAGAATCATCCCTCCAACTCAAAAACATCCCACTTAGGAAGCTGTAAAGTGTAATTAACTGCTGCAAAGTCTACACAGGCGAGACATGAAGTCATGGAAATAGCCTTTTGGAGGAGAAATTTTCATCACTGGTGTGAGTTTACAGTCCTTCGGGGACTTGAGGGTCTGCTGGGTTTTTGATGTAGCTCCACAGCAGCCAATTAAAATCCCCCTATTAAGGAGAGAGTTATCTCCTCAGCACAGCCAGATGTCCACCAGTTGAATTTAGACAAGCTGTAATGGCCACCGGGTGAAAAGCCGCGATGTCTGCAGCTGGAGCGAAGATGCTGGAGCACATGTGGATTCGGATGATGGGCTGGTTCAGTCTCATCTGTTTTGGCCTAATCAATGGCATGCTTTGCTTTTGTATCTCTGCATCAATACTGTTTGCACAAATTGTATGATGCCATCTTAGTCCTGGTCTCATCTCCTGTTTGTGCAAAGTTGTGCAGATTTGTTCTCTCTAAACGCTTGTTAAGCCGTCTGATTAAACATATTTGTGAGTGTGCTGCTTTTTTTATGTTATTATTTTCTATCATTTGCATGTGGAGGGTGTTGGTGTTAGGAAAACGGCTGACAGTGGAGGTTTTTAAGCCCCGTCTGCTGGGAAACGAAACGATTGATGGAGCGAAAGAAGGAGCAGAGAGGCAGAAATGACAGGAAAAGGAGAACGAATAGGCGGTTAGAGGAGGGGAATGAGAGGAAACTGCACGATTTGGATCCATGCAATATGAAAATATGGAAATTGCACTCTTGTATCTTTGCTTAGGAAGTGCATGTGCAGCCAAGGCATGTCTTTAACCAAGTCTGCGAAGTGCGTGTTTTTATTGAGTTGAACTTGCAGATCTTTTTTTTTTTTTTTCCCTATAAGTGCCAGGTCTGGGTTCAAGCCGAAGTGAGAGTGAGCCCAGTGCTGCTCAAGTGCCCTCAACCAACAAGCTGACACCCATTCAGCCTTTTTTTTCAGTTGACAATCCCGTCTCTTATCTTCAGGAGGGAATCTGAGAAAAAAATATTATCTCTGCGTAATAAGCAGCTTCACATTATTATTTTGTACTCACTCTCTCAAAAACATTCGCAGATATAGAGCTTCTTCGAGGACCATCAAAGCTACTATATTACAGTTCTTAACTAGACTAATATTTAGCTGAATAATTAAAGACACTAAACAAAAGAACATTGATGGATTTATAAAATGCAATTACACTGAGCTTTGATGGTTTATTTTCTCCCTGAAGACACGCTTTGTGTGTTGCTCATAATTTTGCAGCCTAGAAAGAAACAATTATGTGCTTTTTTAGCATGTTTGTTGGTGCTGTGACAGTCAAAGGCCAGTATGATAACCATGAGTAAGAATACCACAATTTCAGTGACACCACAAAAAAGTTCAACTTTACCAAATTGCTTCTATTTAAAACATGAAAAGCAGTGATTATATGTTCTGCTGAAAAAAAAGAACTTGACATTTTAAGTTCTACAGCTGTAACTGTGCCACCTATAGCAAAAACGGGTAGAAAGAAGAACTGCTAAATGCTTATTGTTGAGATAATTAAAAGATTTTGCAGCTCTTCATAAAGTAACACAAATACTACAACCTTACATTACCTCATTGTTGAATCTTTCTGGCTGCTGTGGGTTTTTTTATAAGTAGAGAGCCTGCACTGCTCCACTCAAAAAAAATGCTGCTCCTGGTTTTCTAACCAATACAAATGATGGTCGTTGCTCCTCTGGGCTTCTGTTTGAAAAATTTCCAAAGAAATAATTTTGTCTTTTTTGCAGGAGATTGAAAAGTGTAGAGGCCTTTTACAGGCCTGCAACCAATAGCAACACGTGGGGGAGGGGCAATTTTGTATTCAAACAGACTAACTATATTTGGGTAAATGTAAGACTTTGCAGAATGCAGCATGCTTTGAATCTTTTTTATGAGAGTATGAATGAATTGTAGGACATTTAGGCGTCCGTACACGCGATTTGTTAAATTAACCTGCAAAGAAATATAGAATTTTGCAGCAGGTAAATTTGTAGCAAACAATGAAAAGAAAACTCGACCTCCTGAGCCGTCATCCACCCAATGAATTCACCTCATAAAATTGAGCTGTCCAGCTCGAGCTGCCGCTTCCTACAAATACAATCATTTTTGTCCCTAAACGTTGCCGCCCGGTGTGAATGCCGTGCGTTGTTGCAGTCTGGAATGTGGGGGGCTCCCCTCGGCCCTGGACTGTCTGACTGTTATTGTTGTTATCAGTGGGACTGGAGACAAGCATTATTTCCCCGCTAATTCCCTGATAATGTCTGCTCTGCCGCATGGATGGCTCTCAAAGGCAATCCCAGAGTCGCTCGTAGAGAGGCTGCTGCGTGTCCACCGGGGAGAGATAGCATGCATGTTTGCATTGGTGTGAGTCCGGTCGGGGTGGAGGATGAGTCACACGCCCTCTTTCCCAGCTTTTATCTCTGCCGGCTCCTTTAAAAGAAAGAAAGAAAGAAAAAAACTCATAGACTTTACCACAGCTTTTTTTTTTTTTTTTTTTAAGTCAGCTTTGTGGGGTAATGATTGACTCATTGCCATCACAGGGTATTCATGTGGGGTAATAAAATTGCAGAGCTGTGGTCCTGTGGATGCCATTGCTGATTTGGAAAATAAACGTGACTCACTCTATCAAAGTGAGGTGATTGCACATCCTGTTGGAAAAACAGCGACGAGTGGAGGAACCTGTTCCCCATCGTTACAATTCTCCTCACAGCAGATACAGTCACGTTTTGTCACCTCTGTTTTGTTCGGATTTGATGTCCCGCTTCTGCAAGAAGTAGTAAAATTATGAAAAGCCTTAAAACAAAAAGGACACCTAGCATCAGTAGACAGAGTCACTTGTCTCTGACTTAAACTAAGTGGTTTGTTAGAGTAGATATTATGGAGAAAGTTCCCACGCTCTGAATGCAGAAAGCGTAGGGTACAATCCGAGACTTTCTGTGACAAGAAGTAAAGTCGTATCTCTCAGTTGTGTGTTGCCACAATTAATGTAGGGGACACTAAGCATGCAGCAGAAGCTACTCTTTGGATGTGGATACAAAACATCTGACAGGTAATGAAGGAAGTTTTGACACCGGAAAGCCCAGGAAACTCAACTCAGTTGTGCAAGAAGCATCAGACCATTTCACAGTCTGATTTATATTTTTTCTGCTTTGAAAATGCACTTTTAAAATAGACCACATTCCCTGAACTGCATCATGTAATTAAGACAGCTGGGTAAATGTAAAAATGTCCTGGTGTCACAAGGACCTAGTCAAAGTCCAGACCGAAAAGTTGAGAAGCTGTAGCAAGTCTTAAAAAAATTATCGTAACAGAAAAATATCTCTGGTATAGACAAACCTCAAAAGATTTAGAGTAAAAGATTGTTATTAAAACTACTGAAAATTATTCACTAAAGCTGAGTGAATCTTTTTAGGCATTCACTCAGAACTCCATATTTTTATTTGTAAAAGGTTTAGAAAATCCGAGTATCCCTTCCTCTCTATTTCCTGCTTTTGCCCATCTTTGTGATGGGCTGTGGGGAAAAAACTACAATCCTGGTAAATACCTCACAGTTTCTAAGTACTTAACATTTGAAAAGTTAAGCACTATAAAGACCTGTACAAGGCTTTCTGAGGTACGAGTGTGACTCTGTGTGTGAACAGCACTGTGAGACGCGGCGGCCACAGGGCTGACAGTTAGCAAACTGCACCCAGTGGACAGGGTGACCACTCAGGTGGCAAATCTGGAGCTTGACATGAATTCCCCTGCTTCTTTCTGTGTGTGTGTGTGTGTGTGTGTGTGTGTGTGTGTGTGTGTGTGTGTGTGTGTGTGTGTGTGTGTGTGTGTGTGTGTGTGTGTGTGTGTGTGTGTGTGTGTGTGTGTGTGTCTGCCCTCCTGCCTGAAGGCATTGTGTGTCTGTGCGCAAGGACTGTACACTGCACTGGCAGTGTGCATACCAGCAGATAGACAGCGTGTGTAGGAGTTGTTGGGGGGGATGGCGACGGAGACAGAGGTCTGTGCAGCACATCATCCGTTAGGCTTTATGGCTCAAGACCTCCTAAGATAAACCCCCAGGCTGTGAAATTGCTCCTTCAGGGGAAAATGACATTAATATGCACTTGTCTCTCCCCCCACTGATCCTTGAGCCTCACTGCTCTTTTTTTCAGAAAGACAATCCCAGCCGTCGTGAAAGGCTCTGGCGCAGATGAGATGTTGGAGCCATTGACTGGGGCAGAGCCTGCAGAGCAAAGCTTTTAGCCTGTCTGGCCCATGTGTTGGTGGTAGCAGACCCCTCTACAGCTTCAGAGCAGCGTGGATTCATTGATCGAAATAGCGGATAGCGACACGGTCTTTTGTATAACCCTAAGTAGCTGTTAACAGTTTGAAGGAAGTGGAGGAGTAGCAAAGGCAGCATCTTTAATTGATTGGTATGTGTGACTCGAAGTCCTTCAGTGATCCTCTTTAAAACTTCAAATATTCCAGTGTGAAATGTCAAATCTCCCCTTTGTGCTGAGGAATGTGTTTGCGCTGTTCCTGCCAGTCGAGTGCTCTGCTTGATGTATGTGCAGTTTGGAATTTAAAAAGCTGTTGTTGTCGACATAAGGGGGAATATTTCTGTGCTCACTTAAGACAGGAGATTTATAAGTTTGGTTTTGTGGCATTACAAACACTCACAGAAGCCAGCTGTAACTCCAAATGAGTTTATATTGCTGTAATGTGGAGGGTTGTAAACTTTAATGTGAAAAGGAAGCTGGGAATGGATTTAAAGTTAGAAAGGAAACATTGCTTCTTTGTTTAACTGTGCCGACACTCGAGTATTAGGAGCGTGTGGCTGGTCAGTTCTCCTGTAGCAGCAACATTGCGCAGAGCCAGAGCACGCCAGATTTGAATTTTAAAAGGATTTCCGTCCTTAGTCATTATTTTTAATGAATTTATCCCTCAGAAAACACATCCGATCTGCCTGACACCGGCTTAAGACGAATTTATGAACGACGGCAGCACATATATCATCTCTTTCTCCCTGTTTTAAAGCAGCAATAAGAGCTTAAACACAAGGACCCATGAAGGACCCCATCACTCACATTTCCAAGATGCTATGAAACAGAAGTAGCAGGGAATGTTTTTTGATCATTTTTTTTCCCTCTGTGATTTTTGAGGAATTTTGAAAATCAGGGTTTTCGCTCCCTTCCCTCACCTGGATAACTTAATCTGTGAACCTTTTCCCTGATAAATGATTACTGTAATTGCTTTTGTGTTTTTGCCCAGATTCAAACAGTTATACAGCTGAAAACTGGATGCAGAAAGTATTTTTTTGTGGATTTTCATTAACTGACTCAAAATTATACATACAGGCTCGGGCATGTGTATGGAGGTATCTTGTCGTAAGTTGTCTCACTGTGTTTGTCAGTAATATATCTCATGTTTTAGATGCATCTCAGCTCCAGCACATCTGATTCATTTGGTCACGTTGTGTCCTTAGCATTGTGTCAGTCAGTCATTTATTAAAGCTAGCTATTTGACAGCAGGGAAACACCAGTGCCAGTTTACCAATCTTTAGATTGCAATACACGTTTTCCTCAATAAATCACTGTTAATATGATTCTGCCTTCCTCAGGCACACACTTTCGTCCTACCAATCCACAAACCATAACGCTCTTGTTTAGAGCTTTGAGGGAGTGAATATATTATTAAAGGCCAAAGATTTATGGCTCTGTACCGCTGATAAATGTTTGTAAACTTCTCATTTATTTTTAGCCATCAGCATTGTTTTCTCTCTTTGGTGCAGTGGACGTTCCAGCACTTACAGAGTCGACTTAAAACCCGAATGAGTTCAAAACTCGGGCAAACGGGCCTGAGCCAAAGTCACGGCCGGCGCGCGTCTCACAAAGCATCTTGAGTTCTCAGTCTCAACTCTCCGTTTGTTACACTCTGTTCTCCCTGTGTTGTTCTCAGGCGTTTGCTAATTACAAACGCAGCATAATTTATATATTTTTTAAGGCACCTTTTACAACCAGGCTGTAACAGATGAACCCATTTGCGTAACTGTCCTCCAAAAAGTCATTAAACCTATAATTTGTGCTGGAGAATCAATTTCCCTCCACTATACAGCGCTCGCCATATGTTCCCAGTCAAGAGTAAGTCATTCTCGTTTTATTTCAGGAACAATAACCAGCTGGTGGCGTTCCTGTCCAAGTACAGAGACCTGAATTTCATTAAGTCCCACGGCCGGGACAATGCAAGGTAAGATGTACATTTTGAATCTTCCTTTTTAACCTCACTTCTAGCAGCCCTCTCCTTCCTTCTGCCTCTTTTCTCCTCTCACACCCACACTTGCAGCTCATGTGCCAGCACAACGTGGACAGTGAATCATAACACAATTAGCTCCCATCTGTGGGCTCCATTAATTAACCTTCTTGGTGAGGCGAGGTTGCTGCCAGAGCGCCGCTCGGCGCTGACGCCGCCCCGCTCTCTGCCCGGTCGCGCCCTCGTGGCCGGCCACTCATCGCTCAGCACCGTGGGCAGAAAGGCCCAAAGCAGAGAGAACAAATGCCCTGCAAGCACGCATGAGTCAGTGTGACTCAGCGGTACCTTTTTGTGGGCGCTGTGTCTGATCACGTGATTCTCTCTGACAGAAGAGCTTCTTGTTTATTAAAATACGCGCACCACTGATTACATCGAACATCTCAACGATTGCATTAATCGCTTCTAACCTCTTTACTACAAAGATTAATGTCTGAGCGTGTGGCACCAGTTGAACACATCAACATTCAGATGGCAGAGGGAGCAGTCTGACCTGCCTGACCTAAATTTGACTCCCAGCATCCAACACTTGATCTGTTCGCAGGAGTAACACCACCTGCTGTGTCTGTAGGCTGTCACTGTTACTGCAGCCGGTGTAGTGAAATATTTAGTGAGAAGTCGTAGATGCCCAGTTTTGCTCACATTTCTTGTATCTTTACAGAGAGGAGTGTCTCCAAAATAAATGGGGAATAAGGTTTCATATCGGGTTTGGAACGAGGACAGAAATGTTGTCTCAAAGGTGTATCCTGTAGTAAAGATAATTGTTAGGGATTTGAGAATGAAATAGCAGTTCTTGGTGCTCAATTCTGATCTTTTTTAAATTTTTTTTAAATTATACTACTAATTAAACACGACCAAGATGAGATTTCTGTGCAAACGGTTTACCTCCCCAAAGTGACCCACATGCACAGACGAAGAACACTGATGTCATTCAACAAGCATCGTTTACAGAAGTCATAATGGATGGAGGAGTTCATCGATCGATTTCGAAGTTTAGAGCCAACAAAATCATAACAGCATGAAGAAAGAAGAAATCATAACTACTAGCGATGGCTGTTTGTGGAACATTGACTGCAACTTCTGTAGAGAAATCGGTTTGGATGTGTAGTCAGACCCAGCAGTGGTCTGATTGTGATGCGATGCGCTTCAGTGACGCACTTCTTTTATAAGTTCACAATCATTATTTTCAGACATTGTTTACATCCCGACTTACCACATGTGGCTTCGTCTGGTGACACGTCTCACATCGATAACATAAAAGTCAGATGAAATGCGGTATGACAGTTAAGACAACGGACTCTTTGAAAACAATCGGATACATATCTGAATCAGTAGCACACATTGAAGTGGCAGAGATTGGATTTTTTGAAGGGAGAAAAGATTGGTCTCTTCAGACAGTGTTGAAAAAGCTGGATATAGGTCACATTTTGGGGAAAACCGCAGATTTGGTTCGCATTTGCCTTCTGTGTGAACGGAGCCTGAAGAGGCGCTGTTTATGATTGGTAGCCATCACATTTTTCTTAAAAATGTGGCACGATTTTATGGGAATAAAATCTTAAGACACATCTTTGGACTTTTTCTCCTATCTTTATGTCATGAAAGAAGCTTTTGTCCAGTAGTCAGCTGTGTGACCAGACCGCCCTGCTCGTCTCTGTTAGGTTCATCCGGAAGCAGGGTCTGGATCGTCTCTTCTATGAGTGTGACACTCACATGTGGAGGCTGGGCGACCGAAAAATCCCAGAAGGCATCTCTGTGGACGGCGGCTCTGACTGGTTCCTCCTCAACCGCATGTTTGTGGAATATGTGATCAACTCCAAGGACGATCTGGTCACCAACATGAAGCGATTCTACGCGTACACGCTGCTGCCTGCTGAGGTAACACGGGCCAGCACACAAACACAGACAAGGTCATATCTTTTGTTTTTGTTTTTTTTAACTCTCTAACTTGCAAACCCTGCTTTGTATTTGCACTGCATCATTTAACAAATAACAGTCACACTGTTCCCCTTTTGTTAATGTGAGATGACTCAAAGGCGGACACTGAGTCTGAGAGAGAGGGGAAAACTTAAGATCCTAACTGAGCAGCCATTAACTCAGGTTGGGGGGAAACAACATAAACCTCTGCAGGGAAATTGAATGTTTATCAAGAGCTGCAGTAAATCTATTTTTTTTCTGCTCCCAATCTTATTTCCTCTTGCCAAGTGGATTATGTGGAAAAACAACAGGCACACAGTTTTCTAATTTTCCATCTCCTTTATTTTTCCCTCCTTATCTCGCCGCCTATTTTTGCTCCTCATTTCCCAGTCGTTCTTCCACACTGTGCTGGAGAACAGCGCCCACTGCGAGAGCATGGTGGACAACAACCTGCGCATCACCAACTGGAACCGTAAACTGGGCTGCAAGTGTCAGTACAAGCACATCGTAGACTGGTGTGGATGCTCGCCCAATGACTTCAAGCCTTCGGACTTCCACCGCTTCCAGGTAAACGCAACACGCCAGCTGTTCTGATGGATCAACAGGAACGACTGAAGTTAAAATTCAGAATTAATGGTGTCACATAATTTTTTTTTCTTCTTCCTGATAATATCAGTTTTGTAGGGTTATTATTAGTTCAAAAAACATTCAAAAACAGTGTAAAGAAACAGTGTGCACCAACTTCTGTTTTTTTTTTTCTGCAGATATATGAAACAAATTTTGACATCAGGCAAACTTGGTTGAACTTAACCTGAATGAACAGCATTTACAGCAGGTCTCACTTACCTTAGTTGAGGACAGTGTTTATAACTGAGCAACGGGGAACAAATTAGGCAACAAAGAACTCCATAGGAGAGTTTCAAGGCGAAAAACAACACCTGATCAAAAATAACGCAAAATCGCACATTGTCATGATCCCCAACAGGTCATTAAATAAATAATAATTGCTTTCTATATTTACTCAGGCTTTGTTTCTCTAACCAAACTATGTCTTAATGATCTGAAACGCTCAAGTGTAACAAACAAGCAATAACATAAGTAATCTAATTGGAAAAAACTTCACAACAATGTAACTAAAACGATTTATTTTATCTTAATGCTGATGTAGAACAAAAGGATTCCACCATCTCTTTTGCTCTTCTCTTAAACTACAAATGTTTAGAAAGGTTATTTTGGTAAAACAAAAGGTTGCATAAATAATCACCAACATATAAATCAAACATACTCCTGAGGGACGGTTTTAAAAACTAAAATCAACATAAATAAATGCCTCCCTTTAATGCATGAGTGCACCATTTAGTAGAAAATCAACAGCAGTCAATCGTAATAAAACGAACCAGTCCTCTCACGCTCGGCGTCCCACAGCATTCACTGTCAATATGTGCAAAATCACATCTCCATTAGGATGACCCTGATAGAGGAGAGAAAAGCAGCAGCGGCTGTAATTAGGTCCTGTTTGCCTTTGGTATTGAGAGAGAGCGCGGGGATTTGGCCAGCTTATCACAAATAAAGTAACTTTGTTTCACTATTTGACTTTCAGGCGGCTCTTAAAACAGAAAAGGACAAAGTAACCATAAACAGTCTGCCCCAGCTTAGCTTCGTTTTCACTCATATCCTTCGTGTGGTGAGTCACTTCATGTGCAGCGCTCTCCAAACTCCAGCCGTCACACTGACCTCCACTCTCCCTTTGCCAAACCCGGTTGTCTCGCTTCTGTCTCTGGCAGATCGGTGCCAAAACGTTGCCCTGAGCTCGCTGGCGCTGCTGCAGGGTCCGCTTGGCATTCAGCATGGTGTCAGTGAGGTCTGACCCTGGAAACAAAGCAGCCCTGTGAGAGGACGAACTGATCCTCTCATAAATTATTTTAGTAATGATGTTAGTTTATACATGAACTGCATTCGCAGCCTTGCAAGCTGAACCAAAGTGGAGAACGACGGAATAAAACGATGGAATGAAAGAAAACACATGTAATTGAGCAATGCTAACAAGATATGTCTTTTAAACAGTCTTATATCGAATAAGTAACAATTTAGACAGAAAAAAGTCTCAAATAGAGTAAATTTAAAATGAATTATCTTGGGGAACTTGAGAGAGTTTGAGACCTTTTTGTTATTATTGATGGTTTTTATCCTGTTATTTCTGGGGAAAATGACACAGACAGTGGAAATCCAAATTCAGTTTTTCAGAAAATATAAATATTGCATAAAACTTTCCCAAAAAAATTTTTTCACAGAAATGTTTTGTTGTCCTCATGGACACACAGATTTATGGAAAAGCTGATTTCACTTCCAATCAAGAATACCTGCTTTAATGACCATAGTGACTGATTGGCCAGCAAACTGTCCTGATTTAAACCTCGGAGAGAAATTATGAACTATTGTTTAGAGGAAGACGAGAAGCTCCAGATCCGAAAACACAGACGAACTAAAAGCTGCTTTTAAAGCTCTCTGGGCTTTCTGAACACCTCAGCAGAACAACAGACTGATTGCCTCCACAGCATGATGCCTTCTGTAGTAATTCATGCAAAATGAGTCTCAACCAAGTGTTGAGTGCACATAATGTACACAGACGTACTTTGAAGCAGTATGTTCATGTGTTAAAAACGATTCCAATGTAGATATCACATTTACGGGAAACAGAAAATTTCTACCTCACGCTTTTCTTCTACTCGACTTGCCGCTAATATACTGGAGAAACAATCAGCTTCTTTGGCAACGGTCTTTTATTGACTCACCCTGGTTGTGAAGGGTGTCAAGGAATGATGGACAACTGTCAAGTCAATTTTCTCAAGATTGTATAAGCCAAAAAGATGCCAAAATATTGCATTTTTCCATTGTGATTTTTTTATTATTGTTATTGTTTTTTTTGTTTTTTTTTTATAAATTGAGGTTTGTTTTTTATTTGCAGTAACCCACAATCAGAAGGATGAGCAGAAACAAACACTTGAACTGTGTCTTTAATTTTTATAATACATGAATTTGAACTGAACCGTTAAAATAAAGAACTTTTCATGGTATTCTAATTCACTAAGATGTACTTTAGCCTGTTTAAGAATAAACAAATCAGTTCTTTCACAGAATGTGAGCCCTCACTCTGGAAGCATATCTATGTTTAATTTAACACCTCCGACTTTTCGTACATCATCCCACACTTACTGCTACATGAGAAAAAAAATAACTGAATTCCAAGAAAATGAGCAACTGCCTCATTACGTCTCCTCTTTTATCGGTTCAGGGTTTTTTTTTCTTCTTTGCAGGTAACACCAATGTGTTTGGTACTGCAAGATAAATAGTTTGAAGTCTGGGATTAACATTAGATGTCTTTGTGTCCAAGCCAAGCCGTGGAGGAGGCAAATTTCATGATGCGTCAGCAACCACAGAATAACCACAGCTTGGTCAAAGATGTGGATGAATCGGAGGCAGAGACCAGACTGAGACAGATAAAATGGGGGCATGTCAGTAGGAAGTTTCTGTTGAATCATACTTTCCAACTCTGCCCAAATTTAAACACAGATAGCTGGGAAATAAGAGGGTTTTTTTTCTTTCCTACCCATTTTAAATGACAATTAATCCTGAAAGTTTTTTTAAATTATTAACTACGACATCAGGCAGTGATGTTGTGATTGACTTGCTGTTTTTCTGATGAACTTCAAGTCAGTTCACTATTGTATTGTGATATTATGACTGTATAAAAAAAGGTTTTTATTGACATGTTTGGAGGATTTCATGGAAGAAGTCTGACCCACTTTGAAAACTCAACGAAAAGAAACTCAAAAGATCTGCAACTCTCTCAGTGAATGATATAACAGAACGTATCTGCAGCATTTTTAGGGAATCTTTTGCAACATATTTTGTTTTGTTTGTTGGCCTGGATGCATATTCTTCTGCCTTGAATCATGCCCACCCTGCCGTAAAACGAGAAGGTTTTTCTTCTGTTTACGACTCATAAAGTTAGTTTGAATGTTTACTTTTTCAATCTCATAGATTTTGAAATTTCAATTATTCAGTTAAACTCTTATCAGGGTGTAGAGGTTGTAAAACAAATAACTTCAGCTATTTTTAAAATAGCAACTGGGTGGTGAAGGTTTAACTGTATGTGGATATTGTCTCCAGGCTCTGATACATTCGTACACTGTCCCTAATATCTGAGTAAATACTGTATACCTTTGACAAACTACAATGCATTAGTGCCACAGGCAGGCAGTGAAACTGACCCTCAGTATGATAATACCACTACCATGTGTGGCATTTACTATAGAGCTCTTAGGTTTTGAAATATCCTCTATATTTCAGTTTAGGTTCGACTGATGGGACAAAAATCCAAAACACAGATTAAAACTGGCTTTAGAAAATGCAAACCAGTCTTATACTAAACCTCTGTAAGTAAATATTGAAAGAAATGGATTCAATCATTGACCAAAGCAAAACAAACCAGTTTGTGTTTGTGGGATAAGGGATAATATAAATTATTGATTTAAAGTTTATATATATTTTCTTACTTTTTCATTTTTTTAATATCTATATATTTTGTGTGAACATTAAACACCCCAAAGCGTTTTCATTTTTTTTTGTCTCCACACTGACACATTACCATTGGGGGGCCTTTAACACAAATGCATTTGCAGATTGAAAAGTGAGACCAAATAGAGGGCAATTTTGATTTAATACAGATTCTAATTCATTCACAAATCTCTAAGAAGACGATTTCCCCGTTTTCGGTCTGCTGCGTCGAGCCGCCCCCCTACTCAACCTCTTATCAGCATTTTTTTTTCTCTCTCTCTGCCCACCTATCACTTCCACACATATCTCACACATCACATTTCGTTCCCCTCGCATCCTGGCACACCACCGTTTAATAATCTTCTCTCTCTTTTTTTTCTTTCTCCCTTCTCTTTATCTCCTCTGTCCCTACCTCGCTCCTCTGCTCGCCTCCCGCCTCGCTCTGCGGTTCTGCAGCAAACGGTGCGGCCCACCTTCTTTGCCAGGAAGTTTGAGGCCAGCGTGAACCAGGAGATAGTGAACCAGCTGGATGCCTACCTGTTTGGACCGTTTCCTCAGGGGACGCTGGGACTGAACTCCTATTGGGAGAATGTTTACGACGAGCCAGATGGCGTCGCCAGCCTGTCGGACACGCTGCTCACGTATTACCACTCCTTCACGCGGATGGGCCTGGTGAGGGCTGCGGCCTCGCTTCAGGGGAACCCAGACGATCACAGCTGCAGGTTGGTTTTCATAAAAATGTGCGCGCTCGAGAGGGTAAACACAAGCCCGTACATTCACCGGTACGCACGCATGCAGCTCTTCAGCATTTATTTCACTACAGCCACTCTTGTAATTGCTGCTATTATCACACACCTGCAGCTTGAGTTTGTCCAGGTCGTTGTCTTCTCAGAAACCAGATGCACCTTTATTAGCTTTGGAAACCACATTGCGCAGCACATAAATGGCCTGCCGTGTTTCTCCTGGTGCATCGCCACATAAGATCACATATCATGGAAATCGAATCACAATGGATAGCTTCAATAGGCAACTGGGAGGGCTGGCTAAAGCCTTTCATTTTGTAACACAATATGACACCATCAATTTATCTCTGCGATAATGAGGCTATGTAGGTCATACCGCAGAAAGCCAGCCTGGTCTATTATTAGTAGGAATGAATGAATTTCAGAGTGCTGTTAACACACTGTATGCAATTGAAATGAAAAGAACAAAAGGCTGAATGTCGATTTGATTTTAGTTTGGTTTTCCTTCTTCAAAAAAACTTTTCCAAACAGAGGCTAATTGAGATGCACTAATCTCGTTTTGGGAAAGTTTTTACCTCCCGATAACAATTTTAGGTAAGTGAGTTTTTTTTTTTTTTTTTTTTTGTTTATTGAGAAAAACAGTTATAACATTGTGTGTGAAGCAGGGTTTTACCATAACAGAGCATACATGCAGTTCTTATGTCAGCAGTTAGCCAGGTTAGCTTTCCGTGTGTATTCTTGAATTATTGTAGATCCTTACATGAATCTGAATACTTTCACAAGGCTGCCAACATTTACAAATGCAACACATTTCATGAATGACAGAGATTTAAAACTCAAAAGAATAAAACAGAGCAACTTTGCTGTTCACTGAGACTTCCTTCTACCTCTGGGAAGTTCTGCTCTCTCTAATAGCCTCAACGAACTGCAGAGCTGTGTGGACTTGTCATAGAAAAGCTTTTTTTCTTTAATTTATGAAACACCTCTTACATCTCTGTGTGTAATTCATCGTTACTTCACCTTATTCCATCCATCCATTGTCTTCCGGGTCGTGGGGGTAGCAGCTTCAGAAGGGAGGCCCAGACTTTCCTCTCCCCAGCCACTTGTTCCAGTTCCTCCGGGGGAATCCCAAGGCGTTCCCAGGTCACCTGAGAAACATAGTCCCTCCAGCCTCTACTGGGTCTTCCTCCCTTCCTCACCAGGGAGGCGACCAGGAGGCATCCTGACCAGATGCCCGAGCCTCCTCACCTGGCTCCTCTCGATGTGGAAGAGCAGCGGCTCTAGTCTGAGTCCCTCCCGGATGACCGAGCTTCTCATCCTATATCTAAGGGCTCTCCCAGCCACTCTACAGAGGAAACCCATTTCAACCGCTTGTATCCACAACCTCGTTCTTTCGGTCATGACCCAAAGCTCATGACCCAAAGCTCATGACCGTAGATGAGGGTGGGAACATAGATCGACCGGTAAATCGAGAGCTTCGCTTTTTGGCTCAGCTCTCTCTTCACCACGACGGACCAGTGCAGCGCCCCCTTCACTGCAGACGCTGCTCAAATCCGCCTGTCGATCTCTCGCTCCCTTCTTCCCTCATTCGTGAACAAGATCCCGAGATACTTAACCCCCTGCACCCCCCGACCCGGAGAAGGCACTCTGCCCTCTTCCAGCTCAAGACCATGCTCTCGGATTTGGAGGCACTGATCTTCATCCACCTTATTGATGCTGAAAATTGCTAACCTTGAGTCTTCCTCCTTCAGGAACAACGTCCGCATTGACAAGTGACGTATCAATTGGATGTGGTTCCAGTTGCTACAGAAGTCATTAGAAAAAGATGCAATCTTCTATGTTTGTAAACAACTGGTCAGCGGTCAGTGATGCTCAATCTAAGTATTGTACAAAGCATATTCATCACACCCGGTGGGTCTGTGGTTGTACATCCTTCTTATGCTCTGGCTGGACAAGCCTGGTCATGATCTTTGTTCTGCTTGACATCACTTCCTGTCAGAGGGGTCTCGTTCCTCACCGCTGTTGTTCAGTTCTTGCACATGGTGAGGGATTTTTTAAAAATCCAGTTTTGAAGCAAAGTGCTGTTTTTCTTCAACTGAAACTGGCATTTTCAAATTTCTTTAATCGGATTGCTTGAAATTGCATTTTAATTGGTGAGATTCTGACTTTGTGCTGTTTGTCTGAAGGTGAATATTGCAGTTCTGCCTGAAATAAATTGAAGGGTGGCAATCAAATCTTGTTTCCATTCAAAGTATACATTTGGTGCAATTTAATTAGACAGTTGTGACTAACTGTTATGACTGATTAAGCTGACTGTAATGTCATCAACATTAAGACTCTTAGTGAAGACCTACTTTTTGTTTAATTATAATAGTTTTTTTTATCACTTTACCTTTATTTAACAAAAATAACTCAATTTTTTTCTGTCCTTCCTGCTGTAAAACTCTGTAGGAATGCTTGCCTGTCATTTCATACATCCGTCGCGGTCGGCTTCACTCATTGGCTGGTTCTGTGCAAACAACAGATGATAAACTAATGGTTTGGATCCTCCTCACAGGAGCATAAAGCATGACCACTTGAAACAGACACATTTTTGGCTGAGAAATCTACTTAATGGACTCTATGAAGATAGACAGGTGGTCTGTCTGCAGTAGCAGTTCGAAAGCAAAGGCTCCAAGTCGAGGCATTTTCAGATAGTGCCATAAAAGAACCCAGACTTCTTCACATTTGTTACAAAAGTGAAATAAAATGCACCTACAGCTTAATTTCTTGTTCTGTTTTTACTCAGAAATGAAAAAAAGAAGAAAACTCAATTGCTTAGATCAGTTAATTCATCATTTGTCCACAGTAGAGCTCATATAAAGCAGTCATTAGTGGCAGCACTAGATGTGAGACGATGCAAATGAACTGAATTGAGTTGAACTGCTTTTGTTGGTTGTCTTCCAAATCATGCTTTGGGAAAGTTTCAGACCCACTTAAGTGAACTGAGGGTCTGACTTGTTTAGTGAATCTAGGTGGCATTGCAGAAGCAATCACCTCTCTGTGTGATTTCCTCCTCCTATGCAGAAAATAAAGCAGCAGCAAACCCCTCTATCACCCACGGTCCGGGTGATAGAGGGGTTACCTGGAACATTCTTTAAAATGTTCCAGGTAAAAGCAAGAGATGAAAGGAAGACCGATTTCATGGTTTCCAGACGTCAAATCCCCCAAAAAGGGAATCTGCCAGCTGTATTTTATTTATTTCTTTTTTTTTATTCAGGCATTGGATCTTTTCTATAGAACAGCGTTTCCCAACCTTGGTCCTCAAGACACATTACCCTGCATGTTTTAGATGTTTCTCTGTTTTAACACACCTGATTCAGATGATTGCAGTTCAGTAAACCCCTGTTAATCAGACGTCAATTGAAATTAGGTGTGCTGATGCAGGAAAACATCTAAAACATGCGAGGCAGTGTGTCTTGAGGACCAGTGTACCTAAAAATAAATGTATGGTTTTTAATAGAAGCTGTTCCAATTAGCCTTTCTATTATCTGGTTCAAGCAACTGAATTAATTCATTTGGAGTCGTGACCCAATACTTTTTGGCAACGTTGTGGTTTTTTTTTTTTTTTTAATTGAAGCAATGGGGACAATTATAAGTGGTTAAAATTATGTGTGTATTTGAGATAAAGTTGAAGTATGCAGGTATGACTAATCTACCCTGAACTCTTACCCCCGGGAAAAAGATGCTGTCATAATTTTGCAACAATAAACATATATTTTCATGTTTTATTTACTGATTTTTTTCAGTTACAACTTCCTGCTACATTTTGCATTTTACAGTGAGTTCAATTCTTTTCATTTATTCAGGGGTTTTTTGGGTATTTTTTTTTTGCTTTGTAGCAAAAAACCATGACTCCTTTATATTGCTGTATCATAAATACTAAAAGACCAGAGTCAGAAAACATAACCCAGACACAGCAATACAAAGATGGTGCTGAAGCTATAAAAATTGATCAATGCATAAGCAAAAACACAACGTCACAGAGAGCCAAAATAAATGGACAAAGGTCTTACAGACACAAACTAATCAGAAAGCGGGTTAAAAATACAAAACTGAACTAAAATGTATGAACAGGTGTTGTTAAAAAATATGCCACCATGCAGTAAACGCAGTCCAGATCCAGAGCTAAATAAAGTCATGGAGTTGAATCTAATCGGTTTTTCTCAGGTTTATGTTTATGTTCTAGGCTTTACGGCCATTACAGCAATTTTGTTGATTTACAGCAGAGAGCCTGCAGACTCTGAGGAAAAACATCAGAGGGTGAAAGGAGCAAGAATGACTCTCTGCAAAAGGAGAAAGTTAAATGAGAAAATACATAGCAGTGTCTTTAGTGACGGGACTTTCACAGATTCATTCATCGTGTTTGAGCCTTTAATCCTGTTTGTCTGTTTTGCTCAGGGACAGTGTGAGTGTTTACATCAGCAAATTATACTCCTAATAAGTGAAACTACTGACAAAAATACCAAATTGTAGAATCCTGGCACAATCCCGGAAGTTAGTTGGAGGAAGGGGAAGAATATATTATATTCTAATGTGAGACATAATTTGAATGCTGCTCTTAGTTCTCAATGCATCTTATACTGTATTCAGTATTTGAACTATTAAAAATAGTAATTATAAAAAATGTTTAGAGGGGTTGTCAAGGATTTGCAGGTTGTAGATATTTGCGTTTAGCGAATGAAGTGTATTGAAATGTTTTTCATCTAAATAGACTCTAACCCGTACAAATTTCATGTCTAATTTATGTGTTAACAACAGTAAAGGAAACATGTTGGAATGAGAGCTACTTTAGCATATATTTGATAAAAGTTCATGCAAGGTTCACGTGAGAAAATAGACTAGGAGAAATCGCATTTAAAGGAACCACAAGACATTTATTACATAATGATGTTAGTAATGGGCTCAGAAACTAATGAACTCACCTGCCAACATTTCTTAACTTTTGTAAATCTAAATAAAACTTTGGTCAAACACTATGGCCTTCTTCAAGTAAGGGCTGTTTTAAATCTTCAGATTTTGATCTACAAATATTACATAGCAGGCAGCAGTTACTTAGTTAGAAAAGCCTTTTAAAGACATCTCTCAACAAGATCGACAAATGCTACAATTCACATACATCTTGTTTTCCTTCAACAGAAAAATGTCCTTGGAAAGTTTGCATTTCTTTGGATCTTCACTTTTTTTGCCCGTAGTTTCATACTTCTGCTGCGGTGTGACAAAATGATTCTCTCAGGTCTTTTTCTTAGAAATAAACATTTAGATGTGGCTCCCTCAAAAACACAATTCTTTATTCATTGCATTCCCTTCTTTGCATTAAAAGCTTTTCCTAATTTGATAATCTCGCATAGATTTTATTGAAACAGTTTGGAAGAAGCACACAAAAGCTTTAAGAGCAATTAGATAAATAAAATAGAGACAAATAAAAATCGCACTTGTACGTATCTGGCCTCTCTCTGGTTTGTCGGCATAATGACTGAATGTGTAATTAGTCCGGTGAAACGATGCAAAGCCCCGAGCCTTGAGCTGTCGTCTTTATATTATATTGGTCTGAAATTTTACCGATGAAGCCAAGTAATTCAATCGATCAGGGTTTACCTTGAAGCGTGTCACAGCACAAAAAAACCCCAAAAATGATTACTTAGGACTTTGTTCATAGGAGCTGCCTGTTGTGCTAAGTTTGCTCTCATGTGGCAGAGGTGTTTGTCGCAAAGCGTACATTGAGACTAACAGATGGGTGGTTTGGCTTTGGCATAAGACTGTGGTGAAAGAGAGTAGAAGAACAAGGAGAGCGATTTGGCTCTTTTAACAGCTTGCTGTGACTTTCTTGGAGAGGCAGAGCAGTAAAAGCCTGAATGGAGCTTCTGTGCAGGTTGCGGTCCGGCCTCCTTCGCTCAGCCTCTCGTATCGGCTTTTTGGAAAGGCAGGTCAGAGAGACCTGAGAGCTGAGGTAAAGCGAGGTGAAAGACGGCGCCGAGAGCTGTAAAGGGGGGAAATAAAGGAAAGGAGAAAGACGAAAACGAAGCAGGAGATTGGGGGGAGTGTGCAATGCAATCCTTGGGGGTGTAAGTATTTGCTGTTCTGCTTGTCAGGGTAGCGTTTGCCAGCTCTGGTTGACTCTTGGTGCTTTAGCTGAATACTGATGAGGCTGCCTGCTGCACCGGGGAGCTGGGGGGAACACTGTGTGTTTGTGTTAAGGTGTGTTTGTGTGTACACAAGAAAAACGTGGAATAAGGAGTTTGGGATACTCAGAGATTAGAAATCTGGGTGAGAAGTAGTGAGAACATGAGCAGTCAGCAGCTGTTGAGCATCCCCCAACATCGCCCACTCTCAATGCTTTTATGTTTTTCCAGAAGTTGCTGCGGCTGTCTGGCCTCAGGGCAGCCCTCTGCCACATATGAAGCCACGCACAAATAAACACTCTAATCACAGGGCGAGATCTTCATTCTGCTTCAGATAACTGGATGACCCAGTTCAACTCCGTGCTGCCAGCTTACATTGTTCTTTGTTCCTTTCTTCACATCAGTACTCACACACCCTCTTAACAATGGATATGTTATTTGCCATTATTCTCTTTGAGGTTTAAGGTGCACTATGATACCAAAGGTATTGAGACACTTGCTTTTACACACACTTTGATTTGAACTGCATCCCATTTGTAATGCATAGGCCGTAACACGAAGCAGTAGGCCACATCCTTGGAATTATTAGCGCTTCAGCCACTTCGAGAAGGATTTTCACAAGGTTTAGGACTGTGTTTCGCATTTGAGAGGTCAGATGAGGGCGACCCATCACCGCTGTGTATGTGCTACCTCAACCTCTAGTGCATTTTGGCTAGCATAATTATTTTTATTCTTGTATCTAAAGGAGAAAAGCATAAGTTCTAATGATATATGTATAAATATCTTTGACGCTGCTTTCAAATGATTTTCCGTACGCATGGAAAATTAGGTGAGTATTATAAACACACTTAACTATGACTTTGTATTTTTGTGATCTTTTGATGTAAGCACTTTGAAATACCGTTTTGCTGAAAGATGCTATGCAAATAAAATTTGGTTGATTGACATGATAAATACATATAAATCATATGAACTGTCAAATATATATAAAGTAGTCAGTAAACTGCACTGGGTTCTATTGTTTTTATTTTCCTTTTTATTAGGCCTAATCTTAGCAGCAAATCTAAAAATAGACAGTAAATGTAGGTATGCCTTCTTGTTTGGGTATGTCATACTGACATTTTCAAAAGTTACATCCATCTTTTCACTCTTTACAAAAATGCCCCACCTTTTTTTTTATGGTGCGCTGAATTTCTTTTTTGAATTGCTGATCATGTTTCTGATCCTTATCTAAGATGAACCTGTACTTACAGAAGTAAAGAGAATACCTGGGTTAGATGAGTTAAGGGGCAGTTTTGTTATAATAGTGTCCTTCATAATAGTGTTCAGTGTTCAGGCCCAGATGATAAAACGTATAAACTCCAGTCACATAAGTGTGGGCTTAACAGCCCACAAGCAGCACTTCCCTGGAATAATCTGTATTGTCGACATGTCTTTGACAGATTACATCTCTGTTAAAGGTCACTGAATTAATGTCCACCGTGTCACACAATTACAGAGCACATTGACTCCCCACTAACCTTTACAGCAAGTACACATTTGCATCCGGCCACATTAGCATGTGCAAGGCAGACTCCCTCTAGACATTACCTAAATAAATCCTGAAAATCTTCCTCTCTCCCTCTTTACAGTCCCATCTGTGAAAAGCTGCTCCATTGTCTGAGGTTTTTCTGATGGATTTATCCCTTTTTTTATTGTGCCAGGTATTTCCCAATGGGCCACCCTGTGTCAGTGCATCTCTACTTCCACCTAGACCAGTTCCAGGGCTACCTGGTCAAGCATCATGCCACCAACCTGGCAACAAGCAAGCTGGAGATCATGGAGACCTGGGTGGCACCAAAAAAGAACTTCGAGCTGACCGCGCTTCCAGGCAGCACATTCAACCGGCTTCAGTTTGCCGAGGTGAGTCTTGTGTATTTTTAGTTTTATTTTATTTTTTTTAAATCAACAACATATTTTGGCAAGAAAACAAACAAACAAACAAACCAAAAAAAACATAAAGCCATCAGAGTATTTATGAGAGTCTCAGTGGCTTAGAAATGTCCTTGTAACGCTCGCAGGACAAACTGCATACGACTGGCTTTGCTTCTCATGTGTTTTACAACGGTTTTAAATCAGAGCAAGGTTGGTTGCTATTGAGACCTTTCGGCCTTCTTCACGTCATCAAACGGGGAATTTTCTGATTCTGCATTCAGGCCAAAACATACCCCAGAACAAACCTATAATTACACAATATTTGCAGTTTATTGCTATAGTGACATTTTATTCATTTCTTCATCGCACATAGTTACAGCAGCACATCTTCACACAATTAAACACTTGCCTGCGATGGCCTTGTAAAATGCAAGTTGATTGAATGCACCCGAGTCTACGGGGATGAGTGCCTCACGTGTCGCTCGTTTGTTGCCTCCTAATATAATGAATCCTCACCTTCACACTGGGATGCTTCCCCTGATTGTCTTGTTATGTTAATCTTTGTTTCTGTTTAGGATACAGTCACTCAGCTGTGATGCGACAGCCAGTGTAGTCTAGAAAGAAATTAACCGAGCAAATATAAATTGACCTTTTTCTCCCGCCGTTATCCTGCTTTGCGAGGTGCAGAAATGTCAACAAATCTGTCAGTGAGTTTGTTTGCTTTGTTTCGAGCCTCCAGCCAGCACACTCACACACACCTGGACTCACCTTCAACTTGTTCAGCTTTGGGAACCGACTCAGAAGGAATCAGGGAGAGACGCGTTCTGTGTGTCTGGCCTACGAAGCCCTGAGTGACAGGGAAGCAATGTGAGCGGTGGCTTTTATCTGAATGCTAAGCTTTGGAAAGCATTCGTCGTCTGGTGCAGCGCCTTGACTGTCCTTCAGTTTGTCCGTCTGTCAGTCAAATCCAGCAGCAAGAGCTTAAATGAGACAGCTCGACTCTGCTGCAGAGGGTCGCTGCTTTTTGTCAACTGAGCAGATATGAACCATATTACTCAGGTTTTACAACTGTAGTTTCCGAGATAAACCACACGGCTGGCTGAACAACGTGTTCCCTGTCCTTTAGATATGTACAAAGCCAGACAAGTTTCTTTCTTTCTCCCGTCTCTGCCTCCCGGGCGATTGCATGGCTCTTTTTGCACCTTTAATATAGAGGCACTCGAAGTCAACACAGTTAAAATTAGTATTTCATTTTTGCACGGATTTGACATTGAGAGGTTTATTACTTTGCTGCATAAATCTGGCCAGTTTTATCCTTGCTCATAGCACATTGTTCCAAATTTATACAGATATACATGCAGTACCCTTCGCATTTATGGGCACCCCTGGAAAGATGTATTAAAGGCCTTAAAATTTGTTTGCTCTTTGTTTTAGTAGCAAAAGCTCTAGCTTAAGTACATGCATTTGGTGCAGGAAAAAATATTTGAATTATGTTTCACAGAGCCAATAGCACAGAGCTTATTGAAGGGGTCCTATAAAATGAATGTACCTAATTTTGGAAATGGTTACAGGAACATAGATACTCATCTAGATCTGCACAAATCTACAATGAGAAGAATTTAAAGAAAAGTTTTAAAATAACCATCAAGGCTTTTTTCCCCCTTTTTTTTTTTGTCACCACACAGTTTTTGAGGATATAGTAAAGAAGATTTAAAAATAAATAAATAAAAATATCTCCAAAGCTCAATGTTGGAGAACCACTGCAAAGCGTGTGATCCTGGGGTCACCAACTCTACACAAGAGGGATACCACCAAAAAACCCATCTGTCCAATCATCACAAAAGCTTTGGGGAGATCAGTCTAAGAGGAAATAAATACTCTAATTAGGACAGGAATATAAACAAAGGATGAGCAATCAATTAGCTTTTTTATTAACAGATCATTTTTATTATATATCTATCATAAGATATATATATATATATATATATATATATATATATATATATATATATATATATATATATATATAGTTTAGATTGCTGCTTTGAACAGGATTTAATAGGTAAAGTAGCAACCAGGTGTCGCTTCCAACTCTCTTCCTTTCAAGCTTACATAAAACTTTGAGTGATTGTTTAACTTATCATCAGAAGGTTACAGCACATCTATAAATGCCAGTTTTTTTCAGGTGTGGGTTTTAAGCATAATGGAGTGTGATAAATACCGTCCAAAGTTGTAAATGACCAAACTGTTTTTGCCAATGACCTGGAAAAAGGGTTACAAAACCGTTTCTAAACCATTTGAAATCCATCACTCTGCACTAAAATAGATTATTCTCCTGTGGAAAATGCAAATCTTTGCAGGTGTGTGTGCCGCCTAGCAAGCCTGCAGGCTCGTTTCAAAGCCAGGGGGCCTGGACATCAATACTGTCAGAGTCAAATGCGAGGTCCACTGTCTCACAGCTGAATCACAACCAAATTGGGCCCTCAGTAGGACAGTGGTCTCAAACATAGCAGCAAACAAATTTTATGATATGAAAAAGAATCATATTAAGAATCATATAACACTTTGGCCCAGTCAAAGTCTTGTCCTGGTTGTACTGCTGGAGTCGAAACTGAAGAAAGCCATGCAGGAATGTTCACTGGGCTCAAACCCAGACCATCCAACAAATAGCTCTGGCCTCATCTTTCCCAAGACTCGGGTCAGGATTGAGTCGGGTCATAAATTTGAACTTTAATAGTCAACAGAAAACAACACTTGGCATCTAGGCATGCATTGCTAAACTTTGTTCCTGAGATGTACTTAGTTTTTCACTTACATGTCTATTCATTTTGACTTAATGTTTGTCAACTAAATGAGGACAGTTTGAAATGTATACTTTGTAAGCTCAAGGTGAGGTCTAAAAAACTTTCAAGTCATTAGTCACTTTTTACTTTGTCCATTTACCGTTCTTTTTTTAACAATCAAAAGCTACAGGGGCTTGCTTAAGATTGATTCAACTGTAAACCAAAGTCTGTTTTGTTGCCAAAAGTTCTTCCTCAGAGTTGGACACATGTTCTCATCATCCATCTCGTCACATCCATCTTTGCCCCGTGTATTTCTTAGCATTCATCAATCTTTCCCTGCGGGTTAAAGAGAGCCCCGTGGGAATCTGTCGGTGCTGCTCCTGGTATCCCTCTCTTATAAAAGTCTGAAGTTTGCTCACCTGTGTTTCATTTTCCTCCTCTAAAAAGTGTCACTAATGAGCCTCCAGGGGTGCTCATGCCCTGTGGTTTCAAACAGAGCCAGATGTAGAGCGAGACTATCCATGCCCCTGATTGATCAAACTGACCTGCCTTATTTAATGGCGGTGTCAGACTATTGGCGCCGGCAAGCTGGCGATGTGGAGGGAACGTTTGTATAAAGGCGGTATGTTCAGCAAAGTAATAAAAGTGAAATATAAAAAGTTGCTAAATCAGGAGTTTCTCCTTCCAACTTTCTTCCTTTCAAGCTTACATGAAACTTTGAGTGATTAGAGTGAGATCTATTAAAGAATAGGGATCCAAAAGTAATGACAAAGCTGCCAGTTCAGTAATCGTTCCCCAAAAAAGCCAATCATCCATCAGAGAAATAAGGCTCTGCTTTGCTGAGAGGTCATGCGATTTAATTGGGTATTGGTCTTAAGCCAAAGCCTAATGAGTAGACACACAGCCAGCGACGGGCTAAATGTGGAGGTCATTGTACGCTGTAGGCTGAAGCTGAAAAGGGCCAGAAGGTAATCTCTCTTTGGCCTGCTTTGGAAGAAGTTAATAGTTAATTTCGCATCAAACTTCCAGCTATTGTAATAAGAGAATGCTGTGAACGTTGTTTGACTACATACTGTTGGCCGAAATTTGCATTAAACATGTTAAAATGTTTAACATGTTAGATGCATGTACCCATGAACAAGACCTTCCAAACTATTTGAACTTCATTCTGTATTAAGAAAAGTTACACTCAGCTTCAGATCACTGCAGACAATTGGAGGTCAAAAAATAAAAAGAATTGGTTTAAGCCCTTCAAGTTAACACTTTTTGACTCCACTTCAGCTGCGTCACATGTCTAGAAACTGATACTTTGGTGCCAGTTCTTCTTCTTTTCCACTATTTCCAAATTGGGTTTAGGTGTGGCTTTTCACATATAAATACGCTTTAAACCAGTCCATTTAGTTCTGGCTCTATGGATCGTGTTCTGTTAGGAAGAGAAACTCTGCCGAAATATCAAAACTTTTGAAGCCTTTAACTATTTCTCCTATTTTGGAGTTTTGAAGTTTGCTCACCATCTTCCTGTAAACTTTGACCAGCGCCCCCACAGCATGATGCTGCTACCGCCATGTTTTGCCATGGTATTAGTTTAGGGTTGTGTCCTTTGTTAGTTTTCTATTAAGGTTTTTGTAAGCCACATAACTGAAGCTTACGGCGCCCCCTAGAGGACACAGAAGTTTTTTTTTTTTCTTTTGCGTTCCCTCACAGAACTTTTGCGATGCTTATGGTATTATGTTAAATTTAGAGATATCAGGAAAAACAGGGTTGAATACAAATGTACACAACACACTTTTCATATCCAACTCAATCATTTGCATTGAAGCCTTTTTCTCCAGGAAAGTGCTGCCCAAAGTAAACAGCAGCATGTTTACGATACTTTCTTCTTCTTCTCAAGGAATGGATTTGGCTTTTGGTTATTAGGCAGACAGCTTGTCAAGCAATGTTTATGTGCCTCCTATTAAACTCTGTACGCTTAAAATGCATGTTCAGTTAGAGAAAGGCCTGTAGAGCTTAAAGGGTATGCTGCCCACTCGTCTGGCTTGAGACGGTTTGAAAAATGTGCAGTCTGGACTGCAGCAGAACCTTCTGTTCATTATTTACTGTATGTTGCACTTAATCAATGCTTGTTGCCGAATAAACTGAGGGCAAGATTCAGGGGCAAGTCTCTTGAGCTTCCCTCCTACCTGCGACACGTAAGCATAGGCAGCCTTGTTTCCCGCAACCTTAAGTTTAGACGGCCGTTTCCAAGCTCTCCCTGGAACACAATGCAACATTCGGTCAATAATGCTGCATAACTTTGTAAAGCTTGATTGCAGGCTTCAGCGTGTGTGTGTCCATCTGGCATAATGCAAAAAGCTATACAAAAGTCAGACAAGGCAGCTGATTCGCTATATAAAGCAGATCACGGTCCTTCAATGCTGGAACTGCAGAAAAATCTCCAGTAATTGAAATGAAAGCAAGGTGTCTTTACCAGATGGCCAAGAATCTCCGTTTTTTTTTTTTCCTGTTGGTTTCATTTAAGCAAGTAATGTCTATTTTTACCGAGCACGGCAATCTAAGCTCTCGGAGGATGTAACACTGAATCAGTTCCAGTCAGCCATTGATCCTCCAGCAGGGTGAGGCCGTATTAATCAGCTACCATTGTCACAATGAGCGCTTCCAAAAGCAGACTTTCCTCTCACATTTCTGCCAGCATGCCCCGGGCATTTTTTTCTGTCAGTTTTGTGTATATGCGCATGTCCATGTATGTGTGTATTGCTGCCTTCCTCATCATCCTCACAGCTCCATGTCTCCTCTTGCATACTCATTTAGCTTTCCTGATGTTTAGATTTGTTCTCCCTCTGTCCATCCATTCGAATATCCTTTATTTATTCAAATTCAACTAAAAAGGAACATTTTAAAGACTCTTTTGCTGCAGAGTCTTAAGGGTTCTTTTGCTTCAGATGTTTTTTTCATATATATTTTGTCACACACAAACAAAAATGGTGAACTTAAAAAACTAACACACTATAAGAATGTTTTCTAAAATTTTGACTTAACCTTCAGATAAATAAAACACAGTTTTGTCGCTGTGCCCTGGCTATGTCCCTAATATAAGGGATTCTTCAACCCACATCAGCATAAAGAGAGATAGTTGAGGAGACGCCACAGGCGGTAACATAATTGCAGATCCAGGGAGTGACTGCAACAAAAACAGCAGCAGCAGCAGACAAACTTATCCACTTCAATATGTGGGGACATAAAGATGATAATTTCTGTCGTTTTGTTGCTGTAAGTGGTCATTAATTTGTATTAGGAGCAGAGGAAACGTCGCGTTGTGCATGCAAGAGAGCAGTCGATGGAAAGCAGCGATTAGCATTACTCAGACAATAATCTGTGTCTGCATTCACAGGATGCTTAGATCAGCACCCTGACTCTGAGATTTCCAAAGGTTTGACAACATTCCCAAGACTAACACAGCCGTCTCAGCCTGTTGTCAAAAATTCAGTTTTTGTTTCATCTCTGTGCTGTTGCTGGCTTTATTCTGAAACGCCTTTTCAAATATAGTCAGGGTCTGCGGTGCCGCTATATCCGTGTGTCATAGCTACCCATTCCGTGCATCTCATCTTTTTTTAACGAAAAAGAATTATAAAGCTGGAGTGATTATTAGTTTTTGGTCAATTACTGTCAAAGGCCAAGTTCTTTTTGCATCTCGGAAGACGAATATTACTAATGAAAACGTCAGAGTTTGACTTTAAACAATCTATGCTACCCCTTTAACAGCATTTTTTGAACTGAGACATTAAAAACCAACTATTAATGCTGTGCAAATCCTCGAACACTAACTATAAGGCTAATAAGCTTTCTATAAATAATACCCTGAAGAGGCTCGTTGTTCCTCAGGCAGTCTTCTGGTGCAAGCCAAGCTGTCAGCCTGTTTCATATTTCATAGCTGTACTTTATGTTTCTAATTCATATTCAGATATATTTTACTCACTGATACCGCCGGTTCAGTATTATTCCCACTTTATTTCTCTATATATTGTCACAGAGAATGCAGCCTCTTCCAGTGCTGATGGAAACATTTGAAAGCCCCTTTTTATGTAGCTCTTCTCTCGAGACTCCCATGTTTTTTTCCTGTCAAAAAAAGGCTATAATGGATGCGTAGAGATATACTCAGAGTCTTCCACTGTTTTGGCTTTTTATTCACTGATCTGAGGTTGTAATCTTCTTCGCTGTTCAGAACGAGTCTGTCTCTCGGTGTATAAAGGTGTTCATTGCCTGCTTCTGCCACTCACACCTTGGGGATGTGGTTGGGGCGTCACCGTATGTTTCTTTCGCCCGTCTCCCAGTCCGGCGCGTTGCAGCATCCGTGTGAAAGGAAATGTGGAGCAGGAAGCGGATCGGGCTTGTCGGCCTGCGCGTTCTCTAACAGTGGAGGGCAGTTGTGATGACCGAGGTAGATTTTGACTGATGGAAAAATCATGCCGGGGACTGCTTCTCATGATGATTTACTGCAGCTTTGGTGGAAGGTTAAAAATGTTTCTGTAGCAAGTGACATTCTGTTTATTATTCAGGTCTGCATAAAGTCCTAAGAGTGAATTTATCGCATATAAACAGTTATGAACAATTTAATATTCCACATTAAACATTAATTTTTTTTCGAATGAATGATCTCATTGATTATGTTTGAAAAACAAAGTGGAGTAGCTACAGGTAAACACCAAAAATGAACTTTTCATCAGTCCTTGGAATAAAACATCAACAAAACTGGACCTTCTTTGGCTCAGTGAGACACTTCTAATAGTCATATTCCTCAACAATCCTCTGATCTGTGACAGTGGGCTGACCAGGCCTCCAAACCATGACACTTACACTCCTCTGCTTCATAGCTGACATGAATTCCTTTTCCTGGAGAACTGCATATTGTTTGACAATAAAATCCTCTGCTCTGGTGTCCAAATAATTCAATTTGAGTCAAAATGACATTTTCTCAGACATCCAAGCCTGAAAAAATGTTTTCTCTGGTAAACTTCAACGTGGACTTCTTGTTTTTCTTAGAGCGCACCCGTCATAAAAGTTAATCTCCTGCAGTTTCAGAGGTTTATGCTGATTGTAGAGGCTGTGTACGCTGTCATATCCACAGTAGCAAAGGTCTGCCTTGGTTCCTATAATTACATCATAGGGTTTATTTAAACCCTAAGATCTTGTGGTCAGCTCTTGGATTAAATGTGCTTGTTGTGAGTTGTTTTGAATGTCCTTATACAGTGAAAAGAGCGTTCACTCTCACGTCAACATACAAGTAGTGCACAACAAGCTAAATGCATTTGTTATTGCATTTTGCAAAAATGTTGAACATTTTATTGTATATTTACATCTCTCAGCTTTGTCAGTATTGTTGAAATTGATATTAAATAATTATATGTTAAAATATGTGAGAAGAACCCACAGTTCATTGTGGGGTGCCCTCATCTTTCCACAAGTCTTTAAGCTCACTCCTCTCAATTTTCCTTTTGTTTCTCCCAGATTGGCACAGAGTGGGACGCTAAAGAGCGCATGTTCAGGAACATCGGCGGCCTGATGGGCCCCATGGATGAGACGATAGGCATGCAGAAGTGGAACAAAGGACCAAACGTCACAGTCACTGTGGTCTGGATCGACCCCACCAACGTCATCGCAGCCACCTACGACATCCTGATCGACGCGAGTGCAGAGTTCACCCACTATCGTCCGCCACTCAACCAGCCGCTGCGACCCGGAGTCTGGAACGTCCGAATCCTCCATAACTGGAGCCCTGTGGCCGAGATTCGTTTCCTTATCGTTCCGCTGGCCTATAACAAGCACCAGCCGATAAGACAAGGTGAGAGGCAGTCATATACCTTCTGTTGTAATCAGCATCTCATTTATTACAGCTTGAATATGACATTGATTTCAGCCAGAGAAAACTCCAGCAATTCCTCTCCCTTCTCATTAAGAGGATCAGTGTGGTGGAAAATGTTGGGGTTTTCAAACAGAAGCATCTTAAAACTTTTGTACACCTTGAAACCACAAACCACTTTAATCAGCAGTCGGTGTCTTTCCCTCAGTCGCAGCTCTCTGTGCGACCTCAGTCTAATGAACATGGATTAGATTTGGTCCCTCGGTTAGCTCAAGCCAACTTCTTGTTAAAATGGAGCGAAGATAAAAAGTTGATTTCTACCATTTTAAGACTTCAATGTCAAATGTTTCAGAGGTTCATCCAAACGAGGTTTTATTGACGTTCACACAAATGCTACGTTTGATTTTGATGATAAAAAAAAAAACTTTTTACAGTGAACAACATGGAAGTCTGCAGATAACCTTTCTGTGTAAGACTTCATCTCAAACAACCTATTTACCTAAAACCGAGGTATTGTAGAAATTATTGGGACATTGTTTTTATCCACTGTTTTTTTTTTCTCCAAGTGACATAATCATGTTTTGTCGTATTTGACTCGAACAGGCCCAGACACACAAGATCTTCAATATGAAATGCATAGACTGTAATGCAAAAGGGCATAATCAAATTCTGTTTAGTTATCTCTTCAGGTAAGATACTGACTGTTCATAACCTCTTCACAGAAACCCACTTTTAAAAGTCCATCTTAATTCTCAATTTTAATTGTTTTAATGAAAAAACAAATCTTTTTGTTAATCTGAATATTAATTAGAAAGACACATGGACATTAATCATGGGCTGAAAGTAAAACTCACTTGATTAAAATATTATTTTTACTTATAACTGACATGTGCAGACTTTCACATTATTCTCTGCTCACATCTAAATCTCTGGCTGTTTTACCTGGACTCAGTGTTTTAACACCAACTTTATGTCATTCCACTGTAAGGCAAGTTGTCTTGTATTTATAATTTTTTTCTCGCTGACACTGACATTGTGTCAGATGCTATATCGAGCAGCACGAATGCTACATTGACCATGAAGTAATGTTTGCTGATTTAGGTGTCCCAAAAGGTCCAAACACACACACGCCCACACACACGCCCACACACACACACACACACACACACACACACACACACACACACACCCATACACGCCCACACACACACACACACGCACGCAGCCTTGTGTCTGCAGTGATGCCCTTTCTAATCAAGCCTCAGGCCTCTACAGACCCTGGTTATTTGTCATCAAGTCACCCCTAATAACCCAGCGAGCAGCTCATACATACTAAACAGAGTGTTAAACAACAGCGCACTTAGCCCTCTAAAAACAATGACACAATTAAATCAATCAGTCAGCATGGGTAAGAAACAAGACTGCAGTGTTCCAGTCCATAAGCCACCAGTTTCCTCTGAAAGTCACATGAGAGCTGAGTTGCCGACTTCGGCGTAATCAGTTTCTCAGTTCAGGCAGATTATTAAACCAAGAAGGCTTGGTTTAATAATCTGCCTGAACTACTTTAATGATGCAGAGAAAAAAAACACATAAAGTTGCATCTGTCGCCTCAAGCGAGTCTCTCATGAGTCGACGCATGACTAATATGTGTCTTTGTGTCACATATTAGTCACAAGCAAATGGTCGTACTGACAGTGGTCCAAGTAAGTTATTTTTCCACTCATGGTGGTGCGTCTGTGTCCCGCCACTGCTCTGCCTCTAACCGAAACGTTTTCACCGAACACGCGCGCTCTGAGCTGGGACAGTAGGAAGTTGTGAGTATGTCAGGCTTCCGTTGAAATTGGGGGCACAGTGATAAATCAGCCTGGATTTTTTTTACGTGAACAGAAGCTGAAGTAGAAATAAAACTATGAAGGTGTTAAAGTATTTGAAACCAATATCCACTATATTAAGGCTTGCTTGTTCCAGGCCGCGTTTTTTTCTGAGAAGTTTTAAAAATACTTAAAAAATTTTAAGATAAATAATTAATAAATTAAAAATTTTAAGAAAGGGAAGTTGTCTGACAATGGATGTTTTCATGTTTTCTTCCAAAATCACGGAACAAAAAGAATGTTGCTTTGGGGACAATTACCAGTTTTTTTTTAAGTGGGCCTTAAAAATATATCAAAAATGCTTGGATATAAGAAAAAGGTTTGAACTATAAGTAGATGGACAGTTTTAGTTGGCCATTAGTAAATCTCCATCGCCGTCCTAAGCGTGTCAAATTATATTAGTTTGCTCCAGCTGGTTGATGTATGGAGTTATGGTTTTAGTATTTCACTCTCACCAAAGAAAAAAAAGCAGTCACAGCAATTATGCACTAAGAAGGATGTACTGCACCACAGTTTGTTCATATATTTTCATATAAACTTCGATATCAGATGGAATAGCTGCATTCTTGACTCCCAGCATGTGCTTTGGTTTTAGCGTTTCATCTTGCTGCTTATAATTTACTGCTCTGTCTGGCACCATGTTCCCTTCCTACATGCAATGCTGGTAAAACTTTATGATGTGGCAACAGCACACGGACACACGCACGCACACATGCATTTCATACAGATGCAGAAGCAGTCTTTCAAGGTGCAGAGCTTCATAACACACAGCGGTAACACAAAGCGAACCGTCTGATGTGCTGACTGCACCTCGGGTTTGACTCCATCATTCTGTCACAAGTGTGTGAAAAACGCTGATGTCTGCAAACATCTGGGTGTGAGGGGAGGAGTTTTTTTTTTTTTTTCCTTCCTCCATAGCCTGGCTTCGAAGGGATGGCTGGCATCCCAGTTAGGAGACCAGTGAGGAATTTAAAGCTTCACTGGAGCCCTGGGTGGAGTGGCTGCTTTAAAAGAGAGGCTGTGTTTGCGATTTCATAGCCTCCCTTCCATGGCTTCATCGTCACAGGAAACAGGAATGAGGGCATGTCTTGGATCTTTCTGTTTACATAAATCTGGCATTGCAACAATGTGGCACGCCACATCAAAGGCACGCTTGGGACATCGAATTGCAGATTCAAATTCAAGCAAATTATGAACCAGTTTGTACCTAATTCCCAGGTCTCACCACTGTTCACTGCTGTACAAAACATTTTGTATCTTGAAAAGTTTGATTCTGACTTGTTCAACAGTTAGTGCTCTAGTTTCTGTTATAAACAAGTCGATAAATTGGGCCTTTCTGGCTCAGTAGTAGTAGTAGTGGAGTTCTTTTCCTTAAGTCTTGAGCATCTTCACACCGAAACTGGGCTCTGAAAATTCACACATCCTTCATTATTCTCTTCCACTTTTCAGTTGTCAAGGATTTATAGTGACTGCTTCATTTGCATCATATTGCTCCAAATGTAGACCAGCATAGAAGATAAAAAAAAAACTGAATTTTTTTATTTTAATATTATAATCGGATTCGCCTGACCCAAATATGATTCTTTAGGTGGTGCAGTCACAAGATGTCTGCATGGGAACCGCACATCAGTGGGATTTTGGAGTCATGCAACACCAATCTCCAGTTCTGGCCACTGAAGTTCTAAATAATGTTGTAATGGAAATAAATGGTAGCTAACCATCTAACCAAGATGATGAATAACATCCACCACCAAGTGTTAGTATTTTACACTGATTGTATTAAATGACAAAGCCTTATCAGAAGGTGGCCTCTGTTTACATTTTTTTATAAAATAAACAGTTTGTTATGAGTACGGTCTTTATCAGAGCCCTGGGAAGCAAATATGTGGTAACTATAAAAGAAAAGCATCTTGAATTATTAGTTTTTAAACTATTAGCAAGTTAACTCTGACTCGAAGAGGCACACAGTTTACGTCACCATGTCAACAAAGTTTTACCACATGCTTATGAAGAAATGTATATTTACGTGAAGGAATGCATGAGATTCAAATTTCAGTCTTCTTTACGCATTCCAGTGACCGTCCAACTGGTAAACACTGAGCCGGCCATGTTTACTAGGAAAAAAATACAGTAATATTGGCTTATACTTCTCTCTGATCCGTCCACCGGGAAATATGCTTCAAAGTGTGTTTAGACTCGGAGCATGTTGAGGTTTTTGGATGACAATTTATGATTTCAATGGTGAAGCACCTGAAAAATGGCTGGTTTACAACAGGATGGTTAGATTTGATCAGCTAAGAAAACTAAATTATACAATGATAAACCTTGAAAGAAACAGGCAAGTATTTTATTCATGAGCTGTTGAGGAAGACCTTCGAGAAATAGCTTAGTTATTTCGGAGGTACTTCAGCAAAGATTATCCAGAGTACGATTGGATGCGAATGCACCAAGTTAAAACGTGACTGTAAAAGGCAAAAAGAGGAGCAGCTAGCGGAGGAGCAAATCTCAACGCTGGAGCTTGGCTTGACACAACAGCTGTGTGTCTTCACATGTTCAGCTTATTGTTGTATTTGCATGGTGCCTTGGAAATGCCTTGTTGCTGAAATGTGCCACAGAAATACAGTTTGGTTTGATTGATTCTTTTCCCTCTCCCCTCATCAGGACGCTTGATTTCATCCCAGATATTCTTCGGCTTTAGATTTTCAGTTTTGCAGCTCCATAGTCATAAGTATCTAGAAAGTCTACATTTAGAATACAGTAACGTGCTGCGGTGTTTAATCATCGCACTGCAAAACCACACAATCTTAACTCTTAGAGACATTTTTCCCATATATTAAAATGTCTTGTTCCACTGGAAGATTATTTCACTAATAACCAGAACGTTGTTAATTCATATTTAGGACATTTTGACCTAAAACAAGCTCTTATATCTTGCTGAAAAGTTGCTTGTAAGTTAGTTTTACCTTATTGCTAGTATACTAAGAAACTAGACCAAAAATACTTTGTTTTTGCAATGTGATCGTGGTTATTAAATAGAACCGCTCTCGTCACTTGCTCCACAACGCCAGCCAAACTCAGGAGGGGAACCTCAATGCAGCTCCTGGAGCACTCTGTTCCCCATGCACTAATTTAATCACTGGTTCAGATGGAATATGGGGTTAAACTCCACACTGCAGTTAAATAGGTCTCCTTTTTTGTTTTACTATGTCAATTTTTCCTTTAATTAATAAAAATTATTAGGTCAAAGTTCCCGCCCTTCACCTTAGATTTTAAAAAAGCTGCTTCCGTTACTGCTCATCCCTGACTCTTTGTCGTTTCCTCCCCGTCTTCAGACGACACGCTGAGGCTCCACAACGGGCCAGCGAAGAACAGCTACATGGAGCAGAGCTTCCACGGCCTGAACCCGGTGCTCAACATCCCCGTCAGCTTGGCTTACGTGGAGCAAGCCAAGAGGAACGCGGCGCTCACCGGACCGGAGCTGGAGGGCTGGGTGGACGGCCTCGTGGGAGGGCTGTGGGAGGCCGCCGACATCTGCGCCGTTGGCCTCACCGCCTGCCCCGTCATGCAGCCCTGTGCCAAGAGCCCTTGGAGCTCCATGAGCCCGGATCCCAAATCCCAACTGGGAGCGCCGCACCACGACGGCCGTATAAGGTAGCAGCGAGGCCTCCAGCTGGACGGGAGGCCGTGACACTGTTTGGTTTTATTTATTCGAGAGGCTTATTGCAGGGGGGGGAGGAGGGAGGAAGAGGAGAAGCTCTTCCTCTGCACCTCTGAGCAGAAGCAAATGAAAAAAGGTGGAGTCCTTCAGCGAGCTGTGGGTAAGGCTGTCTTAAAAGCAAGGGGAAGCATTTCTCTGAACCTCCCACAGAGTTTATTCCTTGAGGGGATTTTGCTGGCTTTGCTATTTCACTTTCTCAGTGTATTTATTTTTCTTTTCATGGCTGAGTTTTACTGTGATAAAACGTTGCAATTTTGGAGCTTTTTATTGTGCTGCCCAATGAATTGCGACGCCCTGCTTTTGGGCTGTGTGGCCATGCGAGTCTGAACTGTCAACACTGCTGCAACGAAGCCTTAGTGGGAAAAGATTCACCAGGAGGTAGCCGAGCACTGACACAAACCTGGCTCCTAAGACCTCATCAACAGAAACACCATGACGACAACTGACCAATAAGCGCCCCTGAACAGATTAGTAACATTTTGTGACAGCTCATATTTTATTTTAATAGTATTTATTAGATAAACACACCAGCCCTATGTATCTATCTATAGGCACCCCTGGTAAGGATACGTAAGAAGCCTTAAAAAAAAAAGTACATCTCCCACTGCAGTAAGATGAAACATTTTCCAAGTGTGTTTTTGGATATTTTTATTTACCTCTTTACCATCCGCCTCACTCTGCATGTTAGCAGTTTAAGCTTTGCTTTTCATGCAACCTTTTTTGTCACACTTCCAGCTGTTTTAAGCTTTTTTGTAATTTATCACTCCAACTGTAGACATGAGGGTCGTCGTGATGGTAAAGTTTCAACTCAAAAACATTAAATATCAATTTTTGGTTGTTTCTCTAACAGCAACGGATTTCTTGTAATTCAGATCAAAAGTAACAAATTGCACTAATTTTCACTCTTATTAGAGCACAACCGTGAAATAATTAGTAATTCAGAAAAAAAATATATTATTATTTAAGTTTATTTTTGTTTAGCAAAAACTGAACTAGAAGTTTTTGTAAAAGTGTTTAAGGAAGAATTCATCAGTTGGAAGAAAAGTGTTTTTAACATTGTAATCTAGGATCTGAATGGGTATTCTGGGTTTTCTTTGCTCTTTCAAAATTTCTTACTAAACTCCTTACTAACCGAGAGCTTTTCTGAGCTGCAAAATTGGCAGATTTTTAAACTTCCAGCTGCACATTGTTTCAACCTGGGTAGTTCAGGTGAGCCTCCGCAGGAAGAGGAGGGACTCAGTGTCTGCATTTCCTGTGCCAAGTTGTGTGCCAACTTGGGGACACCGAAGTTGCTCGGGTGGTAAATAGCACCTCACTTCCTGTTTTTATGTTGATCATATTTAAATATTGTTTATCTTGACAATCCCTGTTGACATGGACAGCCTTAGGCAAGTAACACATCTGCCTTACTTGGTTTGCATTTTGAACAGTCAGGCTGGAAATGAATCTTCCTAACATCCCATTTACGAAGACAAATTTCCAGAATTTATGATCAATTTTGAAAAGAAGAAATGAAAACTTATTCAGTTTCACTAATTTCACAGGAATCAAATCTCTAAATCTGTGTATTTTTTTTCTTTTCTTTTTACCAGGGGTGCCGATTAATGTGTGGGGCGCTGTAAAATCACACATTTCTGCAGCTGAGTGCCTGATTAGGTTTCAGAGCAGCTGTGGCTGGTTTTGTTTTGCTGGCATAAAAATGCCTTTTTTGAGTAATTAGTAAATTGGAAAAAAATCTGTATATTACACACAAAACAAAAAACCTGCTTGTAGACATTTGTAGTTGTGTTACTTTGTTTTGAGATTTAACATTTACGTAGATTAGACTCTTTTTATAACAGCCAGGGTTTATGACAGGCAGAAGAGAAGAAAATAACAGTTTCTTCTCTTCTTAATTCAATCTGCCTCAAACTTGAAACTAAATTACCTTAAGCTAACCTTAAAATGTATTGTGCTTGTTGAGTTTGTTCCAGTCATTTCACAACGCCTAATGTTGTGCATAATTATTCAAGAATCTTCGAAATTGTATGAGTGAGGAAGAGGTATTGTTATTTATTTCTAAGTTTATATTAATACTGATATTTTTAGTCAGTGACTAAATAACTGCAACGCTGCCTTGGCAGCATGATGAGTATTTTTTTGTAATAAAACCGCCTTTATTTACAAAGGCCATCACCCCGAACTTAATATTGTACGTTTTTATGGCCCGCCCTTGTGTGTTTGTCTGTGTTGTCCTGTCTGAATAAGACCTTCTCGTCCCGGTTTCTTTCATGGCTGCTTTCAGTGAAGCTCACAAGAGAAAAACGCTGCCTGAACTTCTTCAAATTTTGTCATGTTACAAGCACAAACTTATCTACATCGTACTATTACGTTTGCCCAACATTTTGCAGTGCTCAGTTACGAAGCGAAACGAAATAAGATGCTTGATTTTGTTTTGCTATGTCTCTGCATGTTACAGTCTGCGACAGATACTGCGCCATCTTTCCACATACATGCTTTAATGTGATTCCCAATAGTTATCATCGTCTTGTGTTTTTTAGTAACTTTTTATTCCACTACGCGATTTAAAAGTAGCTCAACCAATATATCTGTCCACACTCATGGGCCTCCTGGCGCCATGTTTAATTTTTAACAGGAAGTTTTGGTTATTTTTAAACATTCTTATTGGCTGATATAGGTTTTAGCTTTGCATTACACTGCCCCCTATGGGTTTGGCATGTTTAAAGCAACGTTCAGTGGTGTATTTGTGCAGGTTCACGTGGATGAAAACTTTCCTGAAACCATTCCCGTGTGTACAAGGCCTCAGATTGAACATGGAGAATCTGTGAAAAACAATTTTTGAGATACTCAACAGATTCTCAAATGGATCCTGAACTTTGACTGCCGACCCATTGTTGCTCTGGCTATATGCTTAGTCGTTGTCCTGCTGAAAGGTGAGCATCCATCTCACTTATTAAGTCTCTCGCTTCCACAATTTAGCGTCTATTGATCAAATCCAACTAAGTTATTTGTCTGTAACGAAGAAAAGCACTCTCACAATGTTGTCTCTTGCATGTTGGCCAAAAAAATTAATTTTGGTTTCGTCCCACCAAGAGCTCCTTTCTCCACAAAGTGGCATTTGTTCCCCACATGACGCAAATGCCACTTCTTAAACGAGCTTTCTCCTTCCCACTGGTCCAGACGTGTTTCCACTTCACGGTTTTTCATTTCTTTGTGTTGCGTTAAATGTTAATTACATACATTATAGTTTGTGTTTATAACGTGACAAACTTGGAAAAAGTTGAATTCTTGCAGAGCACTGCATCTTTAGGAAAAATAGAAACTGTCCTCATAAGCAAATACTCTGGACAATGCGTTGACTTGAAGGAGAAACTGTGTCTTTTGGTGTTGCTTCTGAATGACAGTGGGTGGTTGTAGTTTTCATGCTGTGACAAAAAATGTAAAATTTCAAGTGAATATTATGTTGTATCTTGAGTGCAAAAAAAAAGAGAATAATTTATTAGACTTGTTCTGCGGCACCTTGTCAGCTCTGCTCACGTTCAAAGTACCTTTTCTCTCATCAAGACAATCTCCGGACACTTGCATCGACTTAATCAACACTCGGGACGGCAACTGATCCTGAACAAGGAGTTCGCTCACATATTTGCTTTACTTTGAAAAACAGTTTCATCTGAAGCCAATTAGGTTTTCAATCTGTGATTGTCAGCATTGTTTAGTCATCACACGAGCTAAATGAGTGGTTTTTGCACAGGCTAATGAAGAGACATTACTGTTCATTAACGTCAAGTTCACCTTGCCTCTCTGTCAGATGGCGAGGATTATAACTGCTGTCTCTCTTTCCTTTCAAATCGACCGGTTCTGGTGTGAAACGTCCTCATTCTGACCGCCGTGCTCCGAACAGCTGCGTCACACACAGTACTTATTACGCTGTACGCTCATTGACAGGTTTGGGTAAAATTAATTCAATGTAACTTAATGTGAAAAGTCATATTTTGTAACCAAACAATTAACAAATGAAGATGTACTGTATATAGGTATTTTGTATTGAAATGTTTCAAAAGAGCACCATTAGTGTAAATACGGAGGTGGCGAACTGACACTGAAGTGTGAAGAGTTTTTTTTGTTTTGTTTTTTTCCCCAAAGTGTTGCTAAAAAGAGTGAAATCAGTGTTTTACCAATTAAAAGACATAAGATGTTTCAGTACTTCGGACTGCTGAGAAAAGGCAACCTTTTCCTGTATGTGTCCCAGAGAATCCAGATTGTTGTTGTTCTTGCTGGAATGTATTGTTGAGCATCTGTTGCACAAATAACTCTGACTCATCATGTCCCCCCGTGTTATTTTAGTCAGAGAGGCTCAGTGTGCCTTAGCTGATTTTTAGAACCTTCTCTGTCCATTACGGAAATCTAAGTTTTTGTTTTGTTTTCTTCTTTTTGACCTCATGTGAAGAAAGCCATGAGTCCATCAAGTGATCTATCAGTAACTCTTGACACCAAATTGATGTCTGCTGTTGTATATATATCATCAGGCCTTCTCTTGCTGTGATCGACTTTTCTTTCTTTTTTTTTTTGTTTTTTCTTGTTCTTCCCTTTTGGGGATTTGTTTGATCAAACTGGCTTGTTTCACTTTTCTTTGACTGCTTTTTGGAAATAAAATTCTGTAAAACAGCAGCTGATGTGGATGTGTGATGCACCGGGTCTCTAATGCGCAGCAATTTACCAAGAACGGTTCTTGTTCCAACCTCTCTCTATGGGTTGCCTCCTCCAATCTGTGGACCTGCAGGTTAATTGTTTCCTGTTATGGGTCTGCAGGGTTAGCAAATAGTATTTTATTTCCTAAATGCTCAAGATCATTCTGGTGATCCTAACTGACCTACAATGCAGTAAATATGTGATATGAACTGGATGCATTATTAAAAAGGATGGATTTATAGTGTTTCACTTCTTCCACATTATGTTATGCTAAAACTTTGTTCCTCACTGTATTGAATAAATAGCTGTTTTCTAAATTATACACACAAATATTCCATTACAGCAATGTGGAAAAACGGTTTTGAGGGTGTTTTTTTTCTTTGTTTTTTAATTTTTTTTATTTTATTTGCAATTTTATTGAAAATTTAGAAAAACAAGAAGCTACATTTATGTGAGTATCCAAACCCTTTGCTTTTTTCCGTGTTCAACTTTTGAAACAAGCTTAGCTAATAGTAAATACATGAAACGTATTAAACAGAGAAATTAAAAGCTTTCAACAAAAATAAATATTATTTGGAGCAAATACTTCACACAATCAAAAGTAAATATTTTTTATTTATTTCATTCTGCAAAATCAACAATGTCATTTAGTAGATAGTTTTAAAGAATTGTCACTTCATTTCAGTGACAATCAGAAGCATAAATAGCCCAAACTGTTGGGCTATTTTAGAAAACCTAAACACTGTATTATAAAAATACAGCAAAACAGAACAAATAAACCAGACGTAGCTCAAATTAAATGCTTTTCTAAGCAGAATCACTTTACTGAAAGCAATGCGCCTCATCATAGCTTGTAAAGACTTTGCTTTGTTATATTAATAAAATTGTGCATCACAGTTTCCAGCCTTCATAGAGAGAGTCACTTTTATTCTCTTGTCATAAATCTAACCTTCACATTAACATCCAGCAGCTCAAGTGGTTCGGCCACTTTCTTTATCTTACAGGTCATGTAATCCTGTGACAGCAGTGCCTTCAGAGGGCATCTCACACGTTGAGTCTCTGCGATTAATCCAGATTGCAGGCCTTCCTTTCTTCACTACAGGCTGCGGCAATCTGGCCAGAGAGTGTTTATTATGAATGGTACCATTCAGGATTTTAGAAACACCGAAGAATGAAGATTCCCCGTCCTAATCCTCACAGCGGTGGCCAGGTCCACTGCTCCTATTTCCAAATGGAGGTTTGTACAGCAGAACAGAGGTTTGTGGGAACCGTAGCGGTTTACTTTCCTGTTCTCAAGCAGCAGCTTCTTATTTGTTCAGAACGTCTTAGGTTTTCTGAGGCCGCAGTTTCAACTGACTGCGTGTCGAGAATAAGCTATTACCAAGGATATCACCAAGGCTAACTGTACATTTTGGTTGATCCACTTTCCTCTATGTAAAGGACAGAATGTGTCCATAAACACACACACACACCCACACACGCACACACAAAAGGGATCTGCTATCAAATAAATCCAAGCAGAAAGGTTTGTTTCAACACGCATGCTGCAAATCATCTTTTCCAGCAAATTTATTTACACTTCAAAAAGCATGAATAGTTTCAATAAAATGTTCTCTGAAATCTCTCAAGTACCACAGTTTTACAAGGTTTACGACATGCAATTAGTGTTGATAGGTTCCTTCTGAAAAGCAAAGAGTCCTCACCAAACAATTCATTTAGTGTCATAATCTTAGCTGTTTGGGTTGTCAAAAATTTTATTTTTGAGCAGCAAACTGAACGCAACCAGGTCTCATAAGACCTTTCAGTGTGTGTGTATATATACTGTATATATAAAGGTATATAATGCTCCATTTTGTAACATCATTCGGAGGATCTTCACCATATGGGCAAGAGTGTGTTATTCTATTCTTCTGACCTTTCCTCTGTTGTTCACAGAACAGGCTGAGATACAGATCAATATTCTCCATAACATACACAGAATGACTGCTGTTCTTTGTATAGACAGCTTAAAACATTATCTGATAACACTTTTGCCTTTGCTTAAAATTAAAAGCTAAATCTTGTTTAAAGTTGGCGGCTCTCTCATGCTGCTCACTGCAGAAACATAGTAGGGAAATATGTCTTAGATATACAGTTTTGACATTATGGTTCTTGAAAAAGAAATACAAATTGGTATCAGCAGTTCTTTTAAAAGTACATTTCTATTTTCCAAAACGATACATTTACTAAATGTTTTTTTAAGCCAAATAATACCTTAAAATCCCCAGAAAACCAAAGAAGATGAGAAAGTCCTTTTAGCTTGTATTTGTAGACACATAAACCAGCAGTCAGAAAATACAGTGACCTGCAGCTGTTAATGTTGAAAAATGGCACCAAGATACAGCACAGAGTTTCTTCTTTTTATTTTTATTTTTTCCTTTCAGTGAAGGTGTCAGGTCCATTAAAAGTGTTACATAAATTTTGTGTACAAGGAGTTCCATTTGTCTGATGAAGAGGATTTTAAATCACTCCAGAAAGCGACAAAGTGAACCCAGTTGCTCCCCTGTCCTCACTGCTGCCTTGGAAGTGATATTTGAGAATGACACCTCTTCCGTCAGCTCAGGCGCATTTTTAAGCTCCTCTAATCTTAGAATAACTACATCTGACATCTGACAGTTTCCCTTAAACCCGTGGTTGGGTTCATAAAACTGCCATCCAGACCCGTCAACAACGTTCAGCTGGAAAGTGTGATTAGTGAAGGATGACAAGTTGACTTCAATGAAGGGGCCTTTTGGTAAATAATTTGGCTCCCCCCCCCAGTATTTGTCACCTCAACACAGCTTCACTACAAGGATGCAAAACGATTCATGCCATTTATAGCTTTTCACATCTTGTCGCATGATAATCACAAACTTAAATAGCCTCATCCACAAAACATTTCTGTCAGAGCTCCCTCCATCAAACTTGCTTCAAAGGCTCCTGTCGTAAGATTTCAAACTTTTGTTTTGAACAGAAGACTTCTCATAGCTGTTCTCATAGCTGCATGCGTCTGCGGCCACACACAGCGCGCAATAAAAAAAAAAAAAACACATTTCAGAAGGGCACATTTTTCTTGTCAAGAAGAAAAAGTACAGGGGCACAAGCGCCTCCTAATGTCTGTCTGCATGTCTGCCAGGTACGCTATTAGACCATTAACAAATGGCACACTTTCGTTTCACATCACAGTTCAACATTTAAACATTTAATGTGACAATATGTGCCAAATATGAGGACAATTAATACTTTTGAAAAGCGCAGTACTCCTCTGCATTCTAATTTAAATCCTCTCAACACATTTTTCTTGTGTGCGTCAGGGTTGGGCAGTTTTAAACTTTCAATTGTTTACAGTTTTACATGCGACATACAAGCGCACAATTTCAGACTTTCCTCGCCCTGTGTGTGATTTCCCCAGACGCTCTCTAACATACGGCAGGTCTGTCGAGTGTTAGCGAGGCGCTAATCAAAGGAAAACTACAGATTCCAACTACTTTCCTCTCACAGAGATTTGGCCTACTGGGAGAAAGCAGCTTGATTAGCAGCAGCTTCTGCTGTTCTAAATTTATGCACATCAACGTATGTGCTTTCAAATAGGAAAGTATGTCTGCCGCAATTTAAAATAGTTTTCAGAGGCTTTGAAGCGTCTTTGAATTTACTGTGAAAGTCGCAGATCTGAGACTATATAGTAACTTTCTGATGTCATGAATCTATAATTTGTTATTGTAAATCCTGAAAAACCATCAGTTGATGATGCACAGCTAAATTTTCACGTTTTCCCAAAGATGGAGCTGCATTTATTAATTTGACAACGAGCAAACATTTTGACTCTCTTGAGATTGAAGAAAACGGTGATGTAATGTGTTTTAATTACTGCCTGCAAATGACTGGACTAATTAAGAAACTAATGAATGAGATGACCTCACAAAGAGATATTTCCCCAGGGTTTAATGTGTTGGTATTTTACAAAGTTCTATTCTATTGATGAACACAAGCACTACAGGCTTGCAAATGTACACATCATCCTTTCCTGAGTCTCTGAAACGCATCATTTACTTAAACAATATGTATTATTTTATAGCAAAGCTGGAGGTTTTTTGTCGCCTCTTCATAGTTTTACATTTTTATTTATTCTTGCAATCAGCCACCGCTCTGGCTCATTTTGACGAAACATGTCTGAGCTCCAAGTTTGGTTTTCTTTGATTTCCATCTGGTGTTTTTGGTTCCCAGCATAGTTTCTGATTTCGGTCTCATCTCTCAGCTTTCTTTCATCTTTTCTGAAGCAGTGCCAGCATTAGACAGATGCTGCCACTTTCAGTTATTTTTGAAAAGAAACAAATAGAAGTATGCCATTTATAAGGAGAACTAACACACGCTTCTGCAAGAATTCGTGTGATGTGACAAAAGAGTGTGACTGGAGTTTCTATGAAACCTAATCCTGAGCCCGGTTTAAGAAAATCTTTAGAGCTGAGACCTCAACAGACAGGCGCGGATATGAGACACCAAACCACACAGTAAATGATGAAAAATGGGAAGACACTTAACTCCTCTCTTGGGATTTGTGGACAATATTTACTGACAGCATTGGCCGTCTCATTCTTTATTAGGGTTATATCGAATGAATCTCGAAAAGGAAGATGTTTCAGGTGAGTAATTTCAAACATCCATCCATTATCTAAACCCACGTATCCATGCAGGGTCACTGGGGGGACTGGTGCTTATCTGCAGCAGTCATGGAGTTAGAGGCGGGGTGCAGCTATACACACACACACACACACCCCCACACACTCCTGTCTTAGGACAAGTTGGATTAACCAGTGAACGACTAACACAAAGTGGGGGAGAAAAGCATGGAGGAAGGTCTGTCAGTCACTCTTCCTTGTTCTCTGCTATTGCTAGTTCTACGGAGCGGGTCGGTAAGGCTAAGTTAGAATACAGTGAAGTTTATGGTTGTAACATAATAACGA